TGCTTGAGGATGTGTTTCAGGGTAAGCTGCCACTTCGATATGAAACGTATCCTTTGTCTCTTCGCGAATAAAGTGGACGAGTTCATTTGCATAGTTAAAATCACCACGGTCAACACTACCTGAAGGTAGATCGCCACGTAGGGCTACTAGACGTTTGATTCCTAGGTTTTGGTAGTCAGATAAAATAGTTTGTATTTGTTTACGTGTTGTTCCGATGCAAGATATGTGCGGAGCCATGTTTGCCCCTTTAGCTTTCAGCAGTTTTACGGTTTCGTAGGTACCATTTTGTGTACTGCCTCCAGCGCCAAACGTTACAGAACAGTAAGTTGGGTTTAGGGTAGAAAGCTTATTATAGGCTCGTAGTAAACTCTCTTGTGCTTTTTGTGTTCGAGGAGGAAAAAATTCGAAACTAAATTGCTTTGCCTGATTTTTAATGTCATTCATCTGTAAGTTTAGATAGTATATAGGCTTATTGTTGCGGGGATTAAGTTGACGCGATCAGGATAACAATGGTGTTAGCTTATGTCGAGTTTTATTTGTTGCAACAACAGGTGTTGTTGATTACAGTGTAAACGCTCAATCGTCCTGAGAAGGGGGGATGTGAGAAAGATTATGAATATTGATCAACCATGTCTTGGTATTGCACTTGGTGGTGGTGCTGCGCTGGGATATGCGCATTTAGGTATACTTGAAGTTCTTGATGTAGAGGGTATTTGTCCTGATTTGGTTGTTGGGACTAGTATGGGGGCTTTAGTTGGTGCAGCTTATGTATCTTGGCCAAATATAGGTGCAACTCAGCGCAGGTTTCGTGTAGGTTTAGAAGACCCTTTTATTATGGGGCTTAATCTTGACTATTTAAAGTCGAAAACAGAGGCATCTTTTTGGGAACTGTTATTTGGTAAGATTCGTCGTGGTTTGATGGTTACACAGTCTATGATTCGTGATAGTATTGTTGATGCAGAAGCATTCTCACGAATTTTAAGAAACTTGTTGCCTGACAGCGATATCGAGAATTTGCCACGTACCTTTGCTTGTATATCTGCAAATCTAAATGCAAAGCAGCATCGTCATTTATGGACGCAAGGAAGTTTGTTACAAGCTGCAGCTGCAAGCTGTGCGATTCCTGGTATTTTTCCTGCTCAAGAAATCAATGGTGATGTTCATGTCGATGGTGGGTCCGTTGAAAATATTCCGGTACCAGCTGCCAAAGAACTTGGTGCAACATTTATTATTGCTATTAATGTTGATGAAGAAGATACAGGACACCAGCCAGCGGTTGCTGCTGAATATTTTGTTGCTGCTAGTGAGCTAAGCCGTCGTAGTTTGACTGATTTACAAATTCGTGATGCGCAGGTTCTGCTTGCTCCGAAACTTAGTCAGTTTCATTGGGCAGATTTTCAAAAAATTGATGAAATTATTGAACAAGGTCGTGTTGCCGCAGATGCTCAGATTGATGAAATCCGCTATCTTTGGCAAGATCACCGCAAAGGTTTTCGTAAAGGGGTATGGGCATGGATGCGTACAGAAAAATAACAGCAATTATTCTTTTAGCATTAGTTTTTTGCTGGGGGTGTGATATTCAATCAACAGGAACAATGATTCCAGAATTGAAACCAGAAGAAACACCGGTTTTTATTGCTGAAACAGTACTGGCCGAGCCAGAAACTGTACAGCCTAGTTATAGTTATCTTTGGGATTTAGAAACAGGTAAAAAGCTTGATATTGCTGTTGCAATGTCACCAACATTGATTTGGACACCGTATGTTGATTTTATATCAGATAGACAAGTAGGTTATGGTGATGTTAATGGAGAAATTTTGCCAGTTAAGTTTAAGGTGGCAGAATCTGCAGGTTCTTGGGGGACTCTCGATGAATCAATTAATCCTTTAAAACCTCAGGCTGATGCTGTCATGCCGCAAGTAGGTCAACAGGTAATACGTGTCCAATGGTTAGACGGTGTGTTGTTTAAGGAGACCCTAGAAGTCATTGCACGTCTTGAAAAACAGATATTTGTTTCTTGTCCAAGAGTTGCTGCGGGGGCTGTTTTTAATGCTCATACAGGTGCTTGGCTTCCTATTGGTTGGGTTTCTGATCAGAGAGGTGCCTGTGCAAGTTTACGTTCTGTAAAAATTCCTAACGAACAACAGTGACTTTTGTAAGAGATTCCTTATCTTTTTCTTGTATAGCTAGTGGCCGATTAGATACGTTACTATCGGAGATAACAAGCGATATCAGCCGTAGTCAATGGCAAAAAATGATTCGGCAAGGACATGTCTCTATTGATGGGGAAATAAATCTTAAACCTCGCCAATCCGTAGTTAAAGGCACTTTCGTAATGGCTCTTTTGCCTCCTCCTGTTCCTAGAAATTTGGTTGCTCAGCCAGTGCCATTTACCTGTCTATATGCCGATGAGGCGATTATTGTTGTTGACAAACCCGCGGGTGTTATTGTTCATCCGGGAGCTTTGAATGAGCAAGGGACTCTTGTCCATGGCCTACTTCAAGATTTTCCAGATTTGCTTCAGATGGGAGTACAAGCGGATGGTAAACGGCCTGGTATTGTTCATCGTTTGGATAAAGGAACTAGCGGTGTTATGGTGGTCGCACGTACAGAAGCAGCCCGTCTGCAACTTATTGAACAATTTCAGTGTCGTGCCGTGAAGAAAATCTATATTGCTTGGGTTTGGGGAGAAACGCCTTGTGAAGGTCGCTGGGATGGTGCCATTGCACGCCATCCTAAACAGCGTAAAAAATTTACAGTTATTCCTCATGGAAAACCGTCTTTAACTCTATTTCGTACAATTGCAAGGCATCCAACTTCAAGCAAGATAGAGTTAGATTTGTGTACTGGTAGAACGCATCAAATTCGTGTTCATGCGAGTCAGGCAGGATATCCACTTTTAGGGGACCCTCTTTATAAATCTCGGGGACGTATTGTCCAGCATAAGTTACAGGACTGGGGACCTGAGCGTGAGCGTCCTGCGTTACATGCTTTACAGTTGGCTTTTGTACATCCGACCCATGGGGAAAATATGGTTTTTACGGCACCTATTCCTAAAGATTTGCAGCAATTGGATTGTTTATATGAGTCTCTGTAGTTCAGCGTTAAGCCAGTTAGGTATTGAGCATTGTTTTTTACGACCGATAGATTTTGTTGATGAACTATCTAAACAAGCGTCTTCTGATCAGATGCGTTTGGTTTTACCTCAGCAGGTTCATGGGTATCGTGTTGTACGACGATGTTATTTAGCAGACGGGCCTGCAGATGGTCTTTGGGATTATGGTTCAACAGCAAGGCTTGGTATTCGAACTGCAGATTGTATTCCAGTTTTGTTAGCGACTTCTACAGGCTATGTCGCAGCGATTCATGCTGGCTGGCGTGGTGTTGTTGCTTGTATTGTGGAGCGTTTTTTGCAACGTCAATTACGTTTTGGTCGAGAGCCGAAACAATGGACAGTTGCCTTAGGTCCTGCTGCTGGGGGGTGCTGTTATCAGGTTGGGCCAGAGGTCTGTGAAGCTCTTGGCTTAATAGCAGAGGAGAGATATCTTGATCTAAGGTTATTATTAGCAGAACGTTTGCAACAGCTAGGTGTCGGTATTATAGATTTTGTTGGTCCTTGTACTATTTGTAGCAAAGATGGTTGGGCAAGTTACCGCCGTGAAGGGAAGCAAGCTGGCCGTAACCTTGCTTGGATTGGTGTTCCTTAAGTTGCAAGAGGAGCTTTACTTAAGAATTTTTTTGAAATTATAGTATTTGAGAACGATTTTTTTTATGAATGTTAGATCTGATAGCTATATCAGGGGGTACTGGGTTAAGCGGTATAAACGTTTTTTTGTTGATGTTGAGCTTGAAGATGGACGTCTTGTCACGGCTCATTGTGCAAATACGGGTAGTATGAAACGCTGCTTTGGGGTTGGTTGGCCTGTTCTTTTAAGTCAATCAGATAATCCTAAGCGTAAATTGCCCTATACCTTAGAATTTTCACATAATGGAGCGTCCTGGATTTGTGTCCATCCTGCATCTGCCAATCAACTTGTTGAAATGGCATTAAAGAAAAAAATGGTTGAGCCATTAGCAAGTTATACAACTTATCGGCGGGAAGTCCGATATGGTCAGGAGCAAAGCAGGATTGATTTTTTACTTGAGGGTAAAGGAGGGGCCTGTTGTTATGTTGAAGTCAAAAGCGTTTCGATGATTGACGATACGGGACGTTTTGCTATTTTTCCGGATTCTATATCAAAGCGAGGTCAGAAGCATTTACGTGAGCTGATGTATTGTGTTGAGAAAGGTAGCTCAGCAGCAGCCTTGTTTGTGATTCAACGTACAGATATAGAGATGTTTCGTGCAGCTCAAGAGATTGACTCTGAGTATGCTAAGTTGCTGCTTGAGGCTAAAGACTTGGGGGTTCAGTTTTATGCTTACCAGACAACAGGAGATCCATTTGCATATGAACTTCAAACACCACTAAAGATTCAGTTTTAGGTTCGGATTTAATTCAGAAATAAAACGTAGCTATACGGTATAATCAGTAGAATTGTAGCTTTTAATTCCTAAGGAAGGTCAACATTATGTCCTATCCCCAAGATATCAAGATTATTGATCTTATGCTCAATATTCCTGGTGATGATAATAGTCAATGGTATGAACATATTAAACCTCTGCTGATGGATGAAGAGTCGCGGCACGCATTTAAGATGCCTGCCCAATATATGTTTAAAGATATTCCAGATACAGGAAAGCAAGCAGATTATATCGCCTATACCATTGATAAAATGGATGCCTTCCAGATCGAAAAAGCTATGGTAGGGGTTGGTGGTGTCTATGACGGTAATTTAAAAGCAATTGAGCGTTATCCTGAACGTTTTTTTGCTTCTTATGCTGCTAATCCAAATAGAGGTATGGAAGAAGTACGTCAAATTGAACATCTTTATAAAGATTACGGGCTGAAAGCGGTAACAGGGTTTCCTTCTGGATTGTGTCCTCAAGTACCTTTAAATGATAAAAAATGGTATCCCATTTATGCCAAGTGTGTAGAATTAGATATTCCTATCTGTAGTTGTGTTGGTGTACCCGGGCCACGTCTACCGATGTATCCACAAAAAGTAGAACATCTAGATGAAATTTGTTGGTACTTTCCTGAGCTCAAATTTGTAATGTGCCATGGCGCATAACCATGGACAGATCTAGCTGTAAAATTGATGCTAAAATACCCTAATTTGTATTATTCTACAAGTGCTTTTGCCCCGAAACACTATCCGACGGCAATTATTGATTATGCTAATACACGGGGTGCTGAAAAAGTTATGTATGCCGGATATTTCCCAATGGGATTGTCTCTAGAGCGTATCTTTAAGGATATGCCTAATGTTCCTTTTAAAGCAGAAGTTTGGCCTAGATTTTTACGAGATAATGCCAAACGTGTCTTTAAGGTCTAAAAATTATTATTTTTGTGTTAGCATTGACATCAATTAAGTCGTAAATCGTGTAGATATGCGGAGCCCTGTCCCTCTATTTTTGTCGTTTTTTGTTATTTTCTTTGTTATTACTACATTTCAAACCGTTCAGGCAGAGGAAAGAGGTGCTTCCAGTTTTAGGGATTGTCGTTATCAAGATTTTAGTACTGCATTGACGGCAGCTAATAAGACTGGTTCCGAGCGTACATTTATGCCCCGCCATGATGTATTTCGGCCACTTCTAGCAGATCCTCATGAACCTAGGTTTTATGCTAGTGGTAAGTTAAATATTTTTCTCGGACCAGGTGTACCAAAAGGTTGGAAAGATGCAAAAGCCATTTATACACCCGTTGCATTTGGTGCTGTTATTGGGGTCTGGCGTAAACGGTTGGGACAAATTTGTGATGGGATTCAAATTAGTTTAGCTGGAGGTGTTTTTGCACAGTTAATCGTAAAAACAATAGATTCTCCGCTTGTGAATGCCGATTATGTCTTTGGCTTACCAATAACATTTCGTAAAGGTATACATTCGTTTCGTTTGTATATCTTTCATCAAAGTAGTCATTTAGGTGATGAATTTTTAGTTGAAAACCCAACGATTCCTCAAGATAATCTCAGTCTTGAAGCCTTTGACTTTATTTACTCTGTTCATCGGGACTGGTGGCGTGTTTATGCTGGTGGTAGTGTCTTGTTACATAATGTGACTAATTATAAACCATTAGGGTTTCAGGTTGGTACCGAATTTCGGCCCTATTATTGGTATGCTCGTAAGGTGTCTTCACTTAGATTTGGTATTGTTATTGGTATTGATTTACAAACAGTACAGGAACGTGGTTGGGCCGTTACGGGCAGCGGTAAAGCTGGCCTAGAGCTTCATTCTGCTGTTGGCGGTACGATGCGTTTTTTGTTTAGTACTTTACGGGGATATTTACCTTATGGACAGTTTGCTTATGACGAGCGTGTTCAGAATGTTGGTCTTGAATGGCAATATGAGTTTTAGGGGATTGTCTTTTGTAGCATTGGTATATTGATGATTTCTGTTTTTTTGCGAGCCATACCCAAAATCAAAAAATTGTCTATGTTGTATTGATCGTAATTATTCCAATTATGCAGTTAAATTCACTTCAATTTGGTGATCCAAAAAATGAGGCTGTGCTTATTATTCATGGGCTTCTTGGGTCGGCACGTAATTGGATGGCTCGTGCTAAAGTACTTGCGGAGCATTATTTTGTTCTTGTTCCAGATCTTAGAAATCATGGTTACTCACCACATGTAGAGACGATGTCATATCCAGAAATTGTTGCAGATCTTGTAGAATTTTTGGAACAAAAACGCCGTAGTTGTGTTCATGTTATTGGCCATTCCATGGGTGGAAAATCTGCAATGGCGTTAGCGTTGTCTCAGCCGAATCTTGTTAGTTCACTGACTGTTATTGATATGGCTCCAAAGCGTTATGAACACCATTTAGGTCCATTACTCAAACAATTATCTAAGCTTGATATTGCTACAGCTAAGTCACGTTCAGAGGTCGAGATACGTTTACAGGAATACGTTGAAGATAGATCATTCCGACTTTTTTTATTAACAAATTTAGCGAGTCTCAAACCCTATGGTTATGTTTGGAAACCAAACCTTATGGTACTAAACGAAGCATATCCAGATTTAGCTGAAGCAGTCTCTTATTTTTATCCGAAGTTATCTTATTTAGGGCCTTGTTTGTTTTTAAGTGGTGCTGATTCTTCTTATGTCGCCCCTGATGATCGTGATGATATTTGTCGGTTATTTCCTAAGAGTCGTATGATTACGCTTAAAGATGCTGGACATTGGGTCCATGTAGACCAACCAGATAGGTTTGATCAGAGTATTTTGAATTTTTTGAATGCAGCTAAAAATTTAGAATTTAGGTAAAAAGAGGTGAGGGGTGTTAAGGTTTTCTGCATTATTGTTTGTCTAAAGGGATGCGCGTATTTATATCCTCCTTACAATCAATCACTTGTTATCCGAGAGTCTTTAGGTCCAACAGATTATACTTATGAAATTTTACGCTTACCTCGTGAAAAGCAGCAGGTTGATGTACTTTCAGCTTGGGTAGAAAATAGTAAAGCCCAAGATTTTTTGGTATCTGGTTCGTTACTTTTGTTTACTGGCTGGCAATCGGTGTGGCCGAATCAAGTTTTTGGATTTATGCCAGGGGGGGATACCTATGTTTCTTGGCATATTGATCCAAGTATTACAGCAACTCATCTTTTTGCTCAGCAGTTACAAGATTTTCCTGGTGTGCCTTTTCTTTTAACTAATCCAGAGTTGGAAAATGTTACTGCTGATACGAAAGATGTTCTTGCTAAGGTGACAGATCGTTGCCCTGGAAAAATATTACGTGCCGATATGCATATTCATAGTGCCCGCAGTCGTGATAGTACAACACCGATACGTGATATTTTAAGGACAGCGCACGATCGAGAACTCGATGTAATTTCTGTGACTGATCATGATATGTTGAGTTATCGAGAAACTTTACGTACATATCAGGATATGAGAGCCAGGGCTGAATTGATAAGGCCAATGATCATTATTCCTGGCGTAGAAGTCTCTTCAGCAGATGGGCATATTCTTGCCTATTTTGTAAAAACACCCATTCCTCCGGGATTGGCAGCACGAACGACGATTGAGTTGATACATCGGCAAGGAGGGCTAGCTGTTTTAGCGCATCCTCATAGTGCACGGGGTGGGGCTGGTGTTCCTGGTTCTTACGCGCGAAATTTACCAATTAATGGTGTAGAAAAATTTAATGGTCTAGAGTTTTTTCCACTTGCTTGGAAAGCCAACGATTATGAAGCGGAGGAATTGTCTCCAGTTCATTATGGTAATAGTGATGCCCATTTTGCACAATGGATTGGTTCTGCTTTTACAGAGTTAGCAGTTACAGAGGTGACATTAAAAGCTGTCAAAGCGGCAATGTTATCTGGTTGTACAAAAGCAAAGGTTGGTAATAGAGTTCTTAGAGGCTTTGATAAGGCTTTGAATGCTCCAGGAATTCATCAGGTATTTACCGCAGCACTGTGGCCACGGCGTATGTGGCAGAGGGCACGATCAAAGTTAGCAGCTGCGTTACATGTGGATGATGTTTATCTGTTTACGAGTTGGCGCGACATTTTTCGTGAAGCTTATTCTCTGAACGGTTTGTTAAAGTTACGTAAACATATTCGTAACCCTAACGATTTTATCCAAATAGCACCATTTCCTGTCGAACTTGGTATACGTGTTGGTGCAGCTAAATTGTTTGTTAAAGCACCAGTGTCATCGTTTAACGGCCGGCCAGCTTCTGTTTATGATCAACTGGTTTCTGATCAGAAAATTTATGATGGGAGAACATTTGTTTGGGATAAACCGGTCAATGATGTTTTTTTTGTTTGGCCAACAGATATTATGGTTGGGCTTGAGTGGGAATGGGTTTTCTAAATGCAGATAGTGATTTTTAAATATTTGGTATTGAGTCTGTTTGCTCTATTTCCTCTATGGTTTGTACCAGGGGTAGGGCAAACAGATGGTCAGATAGATATAGAGCTTGGTAATGAGGATTTAGGTATCTTTGAAAAGTTTTTTTCGCCTGTTTTTCCAAATCACCCTAATGATGGACAACTGAGTGTTGCGTTTCGTATTGCTTATACACCAGACCAACTTGATCCAGCCTGGTTTCAGCCTCTTAAACGTTTTGTCTTTCTTTTGCGTGAGCCGGAGGCAGTTAAGTTAAGTTATGGTCTAGAACAAGATATTTTTACTCCCAGTTTTGCTGATACAGATAAAGAACACTTACAAGATAGACCATTTTCGGGGTTGCTTTTGTTACAGTTTCGTGCCATTGCTAAGCAAACGTTATGCTATGAACAGCTAACCTGGATAGATCGGCTTAGTATTAATATTGGTCTTGTTGGACCAGCTTCTGGTGCCCAGGCGATTCAAAATGGTTTGCATCGTTTGGTAGGAATTCGTGAGCTTTCTTGGTCTCCCCAACTGCGTAATGAACCTATTTTTAATCTTAGTTATGACAAAGGCCTGCGTTTTTTTGCTCCGAGAGCACAGTCGTTGGTTTAATCTTGAGTTATTTCCTGAGATTGGAATTGCTCTTGGAAATGGTTTTACCTATCTTCATGGAGCAGCTCATCTACGGGTAGGAGGCAATTTAGAGAGATCTTATGGGCCACCACGTACGAACCCATTATTGTCTGGTAGTAATTTTACACAGACACATCAATATCGTTCTTGGGATTTTTTTTATTGGAATATCTTTATTGGTTTTGATCAACGTTTGGTTTTGCGGAATATCTTTTTAGACGGTAATATACTACGGGCTAGTGCGCGCGTTTCTCGAAAATGGTGGATTTATGAATATCAATTGGGTCTTGAGCTCGGTTATGGTGCCTACCGTTTACGTCTGATGAATGTCTATCGAGTACGTGAGTTTTTTACTCAGCCGTACCCTTCTCAGTATTTACGTGCAGCATTATCATTTGATTTTTTTTGATCGTTCTAGCATTTACTTTTATCTCGATTTACTATATATCCTTACGTTGTCTGTGTCTTTGCTAAGATGATCCTACTCATTATAAGATTGACATTTTATGGACTATTCACAACTTTTACATTAGGGAGTTTATGTCTTTTTTTAAAGAACTTGTATTACATCCAAACCTATTGGCAGGCATTGATGCTATTGGGTATCGTGAACCAACACCAATCCAGCAAGAAACTTTGCCAATTACGACCCAAGGGGGAGATGTTATTGGGCAAGCTCAGACTGGATCTGGTAAAACAGCTGCTTTTCTAATTGCGGCCCTGCAGCAAGTATTAGCCTATAAAAAACAGTCAACAATGAATTCTCAAGACCCTAGTGTCTTAATCATTGCACCGACAAGAGAGCTTGTCCAACAAATTTCTGAAAATGCTCACGGTCTCGCTAAACGTTGTCAGCTAAAAGTGCATACTGTTTTAGGAGGTGTTGATTATCAGGCTCAGAAAGATGCTTTTCGTGATGGTGTTGACATTTTAATCGGTACACCGGGTAGGTTAATCGATTATTACAAACAACGTGTTTATTCTTTAAAGCAACTCAAAATGTTGGTTATCGACGAGTGTGACCGTATGTTTGATCTTGGTTTTATTGCTGATTTACGTTGGTTAATTCGTCGTATGCCTAAGATGACAGAACGGCAGAATCTCTTGTTTAGTGCAACGGTTGACTATCGTGTGAAGGAACTTGCCTGGGAGTACATGAATGATCCACCAGTTGTGGCCGTCGACCATAATCACACACCACCACAGCAAATTAAACAATATATTTATCATGTAGCCTTAGATGAGAAAATAGCTTTACTTATAGGGCAACTAAAAAAATGGTCATTGTCCAAAGAACCTATGCGTGCCATTGTTTTTACTAACAGACGTCAGGCTTGTTTACGTATTTCGGATTATTTAACGGCGAATGGTTTGGAGGCTTTGGCGCTATCTGGAGCCTTAAATCAAAAGCAACGATTTCGAGCACTAGAAGCATTTAAACAGGCTGAATCGACTATTATTGTGGCTACTGATGTTGCTAGTCGCGGTTTACATATTGACAACATTACGCATGTGATTAATTGGGATGTTCCAGCTAATGCAAAAGACTATATTCACCGTATTGGTCGTACCGCACGTGCTGGTGCTCAGGGATTAGCTATTACATTGGCGAGTGAAGATACGGTCGAAAATTTACCAAATGTCGAAGAAGTTTTGGGTTGTAAAATAGATGTTCTTTGGGCTGCTGATGATGATTTTGTTCCTAATGTTAGACGGCCTCCTCAGAAAACTGAAGCATCTACTTTAGCTAGACGGTCAAGATCAAAACAGCAATATGGTAAAAAATCAAGAGGCCGACATCCATCTAAAAAAAATAATGATCGAAAGCGTTGAAAAAAGAGAATCGTATAAGATTTATATATCAATATTGGTTAATATATGAAGTAATGTAGACTATTCTGTTTAAAAGATGTAAAATAATCAACCTATCTATATAAATTAAGTCAAGTTCACCCTGCTTGCTCCTATTTGATATTAGGGGCTAGATATTCCACAAGGAGGGATCATTATGCGTAAATACGAAACAATTTTGTTGCTAGACGACGCGCTTAGTCAGGCAGATATCGATACATTTATTGATGAGCTTAAAGGGTTTGTTAATAAACATGGGGCTCAATCTAGTGAATCTCAGCCCTGGGGCCGTAAAAAACTTGCTTATGAAATTAAGAAAAAGCAGTATGCCCATTATGTTTTCTTTCGGTTTACTTCACCTGGGCAAACACCTCATGAATTAGAGCAGCTTTTGCGTATTGAGAAACGTGTTTTACGCTTCCAGACATACCTAGATAGTGGTGAGATTGAAGAAGAAGCTGTTCATTTTAAAAACTATCAAAAATTAGCTACTTATCTGACGGCACGTGGGAAGATCCGTCCCTGCCGGACGACACGGTTTAATGCGGCGCAGCAACGTTTACTTTCTCAACAAATAAAACGTGCACGAGTATTAGGTCTTTTACCATTTACAACCGTTGGTGTTTAAGAAAGGGGCGTGTCATGAAAGTACTTCTTATCGAATCCATAGAACATCTAGGTTTACCTGGAGATATCGTTGATGTTAAACCAGGTTATGCTCGTAATTATTTATTACCGCACCGAAAGGCATTAAAAGCTACAGAGCATAATGTTGTAGAACTTGAGCATAAGCGACGCATTGCAAATAATCGAAGAAAGCAACTACTTAATGATCTTCGTGTTCGTTGTGAGACTCTAACCTCAGTTACCGTTTCGTTTGTAGAGCGTGTTACTGATCAAGGTAAACTGTATGGTTCTGTTACATCTCGTCGTATTGCTGATCAATTAAGTAATCAATATGGAGATGTTCCTGTTTCCTGGGTTAAGCTTGAAGAGACCATTAAGACGCCTGGTAGTTATGTTGTTGAACTTCATTTAGCTCCAGAATTGATAACATCTATTACAGTTGAGGTCATTGCAGAAGACGAGCCGACATTAGCTCCAACTGAAATATCTGACTCTTCAGCTGATTTAGATGAACAACCTACAGATTCAGTTGATACATTGAATTCTGCTGAATCTGAAATAGCATCACTTGAATCGGAAGCTGAATAAGTAACTCTAGTTAGTAGGCAACATCTATGTGTGGAATCGTTGGATATATTGGTACCCAATGTGCTACAGATATCCTTATAGATGGTTTAAAGAAGTTAGAGTATCGTGGTTATGATTCTGCAGGCATAGCTCTTCAAGAGTCTAAAACCCTTTCTATTTTTCGATGTAAAGGAAAAGTTCAAAATTTAGTACAGGAATTACCGGAGCCCAAACCCTCAGCGACTTCTGGTATTGGGCACACGCGTTGGGCGAACTCATGGTCGACCTAGTACAAAGAATGCCCATCCCCATCGTGTTAGAGATACTGTTGTTGTACATAATGGTATTATTGAAAACCATTTATCTTTACGTGAATCATTAGAATCAATGTGTAGTCAGTTTCAGTCAGAAACTGATACCGAAATCTTTGCTCATCTCATTCAAAATGCTCTAGATAAAGCTACAGTTAATTCTGAGTGTGATTTTATTGCTGTTGTGCAAGAAGCTCTTCTACCTATTGAAGGTAATTATGCGTTAGGTATTCTCAATGTACAATACCCTGACCAGCTTCTGTTTATTCGTCAAGGTAGTCCTCTTATTATTGGTCTAGGAGATGATGCTTGTTTTGCTGCATCAGATATACCTGCAATTCTGAGTTATACACGCAGAATGCTAGTCCTTGAGGACGGTGATATTGCTCAATTAACTCGGAAAGGCGTTCTAGTCTATAATTCAAACGGTGACGAAGTTCAGCGTCCAATTAGTACTATTTCTTGGGATCCCATTCGGGCAGAGAAGGGGGGGTATCCTCACTTTATGCTTAAAGAGATTCATGAACAGCCCCGGGCTATTTCAGATACGCTTGCTGGTCGTCTTAGCTCAGAGCAGGGTCGTGTTTATTTTGAAACAGCATTTGTTCCAGACGATATCATCCTTAATATTGATCGAGTTTTGATTATTGCTTGTGGGACAAGTTTTCATGCTGGTCTGACATCTTGCTATGATTATGAACGTATTCTTGGTATTCCTACTTCTGCAGAGTTTGCCAGTGAATTTAGGTACCGTAATCCTATATTGAATGATAAAACACTTGTTATTGCTATATCTCAAAGCGGAGAAACAGCTGATACACTGGCTGCTGTTGACCTTGCAAAACAGAAAGGCGCGACAGTTTTATCTGTATGTAATATGATTGAATCAACTATTGTTCGTGCTAGTGATTATGTCATTTATACACATGCAGGACCAGAGATTAGTGTGGCTAGTACTAAAGCTTTTGTCACACAGTTAGTAAGCTTACAATTGATTCTGCTTTATATAGGAAAAAATCGTGGTATTCTTCGCAAAAAAGAATTACAGACGTTGACTCAAGATTTACTTCACCTTCCTACGGTTGCCTCAAATTTATTGTCCTCTGAGCAGCAGATACAGCATATTGCTCGTAGGTATGCCTATGCTCAAAATATGCTATATCTCGGACGAGATATTCATTATCCACTTGCTATGGAAGGTGCTCTGAAACTAAAAGAAATTAGTTATATTCATGCAGAGGCTTACCCTGCAGGTGAAATGAAGCATGGTCCAATTGCGCTTATAGATAAAGATGTACCTGTCTTTTTTATTATTCATGCTAGCTCTGTACGTGAAAAAGTTATCGCTAACATGGAGGAAATTAAAGCAAGAGATGGCAAAATTATTGCTTTAACTTTACCGCAAGATGAGGAGGTAAAAAGGGTTGCCGATCATGTAATAGAAGTCCCCAGTATAAGTCCCCATGTAGACTCTATTTTACTGTCTATACCATTACAGTTATTTGCTTATTATGTTGCTGTTCACCGAGGAACTGATGTGGATCAACCACGTAACCTTGCTAAGAGTGTTACGGTGGAATAAACGTTTTGCTTGTCTAAGTTAATCTTCTTCTAGTTTGCTCTTTTAAGTTTTAAAGCAAGGAAATTTATTTGGCAAATGGCCTTAATATATCGTCCCGAAATTGATGGTTTACGCACAATAGCTGTAATGGCAGTTGTGCTATACCATGCGGAATTTGTTTGGCAAGGGGCCAACTTATTCAAGGGTGGGTTTATAGGTGTTGATATTTTTTTTGTGATTTCTGGATACTTGATTACCTCGATGATTCTTCAGGGTCTGAAAAGCGGTAGTTTTAGCTTTGTCAGTTTTTACGAAAGACGGGCAAGGCGTATCTTGCCTGCTTTATTTGTTGTGATGTTTTCCTCTGTCCCTTTTGCCTGTATGTATATGCATCCAAAAGCGATGAAGGAGTATGCTGCTTCCGTTTTGTCCTCTTTGGTCTTTGGGTCAAATATTTGGTTTTGGCACGAAGATAGTTACACCGCAGAGCCTAGCCGCTTGAAACCATTTTTACACACCTGGTCATTGTCACTTGAAGAACAATTCTATATATTATTTCCTATTTTTCTTGTCATTCTTTGGAAATTTGCAAAAAAATACCTGATCAGTATTTTTATCCTGATATTTTTTTTATCGCTACAGCTGGCACATATTGGAAGTGCCAACTATATTGACGCTAGTTTTTACCTTCTTCCGACAAGAATTTGGGAACTACTTGCTGGGTCAATTTTGGCAAAATTAGAGATAGATAGAGGTCGTATTCGTCATCACTTTCTAGATACCGTTATGCCTGTATTGGGCCTGCTACTGATTTTGAGTACAGTTATATTCTTTAATGATCAGATGCAACATCCGTCTTACATCTCTTTATTGCCTGTTCTCGGAACGATGCTGCTTATTTGGTTCGGTAAAAAAGGGGAAATTGTCTCTGATATTTTAGCTAGTAAACCATTTGTTGCCATTGGATTAATATCCTACAGCTTTTATTTGTGGCATTTTCCTATTTTTGCTTTTTCGAGGATTAAAGACTTTATTCCTTCTGCAGCGGATAAGTTTTTATGTATCCTACTTGCCTTAAGTTTATCTACTTTTACTTATTTTTTAATTGAGAGACCAGCTCGTACTAAAACCAGACTTCATTTGAAGTATCGTTTACTTTTTATTGCCTTTTTAACACTTGTTACGATAAACGTACATTTTATCTGGTCAGAAGGGGCAAGTTATCGGTTTGATGATATTTTGTCAAAGATATTTTCAGAAATAGCTACAGAGCCTGTTGCTCAAAATGGTTATCTTTGCCATCATCGATCATTTTCTGATACCTGCGAATTCTTAGTTAAAGATGCAGCTTATACTGTTATTAATGTTGGAGATAGTCATGCAAATGTTTTAGGTGCAAGCATCAAAAAGTGGGCTATGAAAAATGACTATTCTTATGTCCATATGACGAGAACGTCTTGTCCTTTTGTTTTGGGAGCGTACCGTTTTGATAACAAGAGAGTCGTTCATGGTTGCGATGCACAAAGTCAACAGAGATGGTTAGAGAAAATCAATTCATACCCAAACCGAATTGTTATTTATTCTGCACGATTACCACTTTATATGTCAGGTAAAGGGTTTGATAATCGACTTGGTGGAGTAGAGGTAGATAATTTGGCAGAATCTTTGAGCATTAGTGCAACGTCAGACCCTGAACATACGATAGATATCTCACCTTTGGTACAGCATACAATTGAAATGATATCTGATACGTCAGAAAAAGTTGTTCTCATTTACCCCGTTCCTGAAGTTGGTTGGAATGTATCGCAGATTATTATGGATACACTTAATGATATTCCAGCCAAAGAGCAATATATGCAATTTGTTGAATTTGAACTTAATACTTTGTTTAGTGTTTATAAAGAAAGAACTAAAAAAACATATAAAATATTTGATTCTGTAAACTCACCAAATATTATTAGAATCTATCCCGCTAACCTATTCTGTAATTTAGAAACGAATCAATGTATAACAAAAAATAAAAAGCAGGTATTCTATAGCGATGATGATCATGTATCCTCAGCTGGGGCGAATTTAATCGTAGAACAAATTACGCAGCAATTAGATGCCTTTACTTCAGCAACTATGAATACAAAAAATTGAATTAGCTACCTAAGACCGTGGCTAATGCCATCGTGATTTGAGTAACAGGGAAAAAGGTTAATAGGTCTTAAGATGTGTAAAATATACAGAATTTAGAAATCGTTTGTTGTGTGAATACACAACAAACGTTTAGCATATTTCTGCGCAGAATGTATATATACTTTTGACTCTCCTGATATTGTGTTTTTTAGCTGATCTTTATAAATTATGTAGGTTTTATGTTTTCTGGTCTCAATCAACCTCAATTAGAAGCTGTTCAGCATACAGAAGGCCCTCTGTTAATTCTTGCTGGTGCTGGCAGTGGTAAAACACGTGTTTTAACACACCGTGCGGTTTATTTAATTGAGCAGGGTTTGGCTCGTCCTTCTGAAATTTTATGTATTACCTTTACGAATAAAGCCTGCCGGGAGATGGCTGACAGAATTAAAAAAATTAGAGGTTCTGGTGCTATTGATGTAAACGTACGTACGTTTCATAGCTTCGGACTAGAGCTTATCCGTCGTAATGAAATATCAGTACCTGTCGATCGTTTTGCCTTGATTTATGATGATTCAGATCAACGACAACTGATGCGCGATGTAATGTCAACGCTCAAGGTTGATACGGAGCGTGTAACACCACGTAAAGTTTTAGGTTTAATTGAGTCATTTAAACGTCGTGCATTATTGGCTGAAGACTTAGATACTGCAATGATTCCAATGACAGATTTTAATGTTGTCGAGTTATATGATGCTTACCAGAAGGCTTTAATCGCTGCGAATGCGCTTGATTTTGGAGATCTCTTACTATACCCCGTTCGAGCTTTAAAAAAATCCCCGATTGAACAGGAGCGATTACAAAAGCGATTTCGTTTTATTATGGTTGATGAATTTCAAGATACCAATCATATTCAATACGAGCTGATGCGTTTACTTGTCGATGACGTAGGTAATTTGGCTGTGGTCGGTGATGATGACCAGTCGATTTATGCCTGGCGTGGTGCTGATATCTCAAATATCCTTAACTTTGAACAAGATTATGCTTCAGCACGTGTGATTAAGCTGGAGCAAAATTATCGAAGTACAGAAGTTATCTTAAATGCTGCTTGGGAGGTTGTACGTCATAATATTCAACGTAAATCAAAGCGCCTTTGGACAGATAAGAAAGGGGGAGCTCTTATAAAACGTGCTGTTTTGAGTGATGAGCGTGAAGAAGGTAACTTTGTCGCTCAGCAAGTCAAAGTAAAGCTTACAGCAGGCGCCAAACCTTCAGAGATCGCTGTCTTTTATCGTACGAATGCACAGAGTAGACCAATTGAAGAAGCGCTTAGGCAATTAGCCATTCCGTATCGTATTGTAGGCGCAACAGGATTTTATGCTCGTAAAGAAGTTAAAGATGTGCTTGCTTATTTACGCCTAATACATAACGCTGCAGATGTTGTGGCATTTTCTCGTATTGTTAATGTTCCGCGCCGTGGTATTGGTAAAACAAGTCTACAACGTGTTGTTGATGTTGCGTTAGAGGAAGGAGTAGATATACTCCAAGCTATAGACTTAGCCTGTGATACACGTATTTCTGGTAAGCCTGCTGCTAGTTTAAAGCGTTTCAAAGAATTTATTTTTTCATTTAAGAGGCGTGTTGAGCAAGACTCGATTACAAATCTGACAGCAGAGTTAATTCGTGTCTTAGATTTACGACAAGCTTATTTACATGAAGGCGAGGAAATTGCGAGAGATCGTCGAGAAAACATTGATCAATTACTTGTATCAATGCAAGATTTTGAACAAGATACTAGTGATCCTAGTCTGGCAAATTATTTAGATCTTGTTTCTTTAGTCCAAGATGTAGACCAGGCTGAAGAATCAAGTGTACAATTGATGACTTTACATAGTGCAAAAGGGCTAGAGTTTGACATTGTACTTATGTGCGGATTGGAGTATGGCCTTTTACCCCATACGCGTTCAATTGATGAAGGATCTGAGGAAGAAGAGAGGCGTCTGTGTTATGTTGGAATGACAAGAGCGCGTCAAGAATTGTTTCTGACCCGTGCACGTACACGTCGTACCTTTGGCGCCAAATTAAGCCAACAAGCAAGTCCTTTTTTAACAGATATTCCGGCGGAGCTAACTCAGTCAATATCACCTCAAAGTAATCCAGAGCGTTTTCCTTACTCCGCACCAATGCGTTCTGTAAAGCGGCCAGATAATCGTTCTGCTGCTGTGGTAGCAGATGATATTCCTACACAATTTCAGCCAGGTGCTAGTGTAGTGCATCCTATTTTTGGTATTGGGCGTATTGAATCTGCCCAAAAAGGTCCAAGAGGGCTAAAGCTTAAAATCTGCTTTACTGCAGGAACAAAGACAATTTTACCTAGTTATGTTGAGCTAAAGCCCGTATCTAATTAGACTGTTAAGTTAGCGTATAAACAGTATCGTTTGAGTCGCAGATTATAGTATTTTTGGTAACATCGTCTACAATTTTTCACCTTATGTTTGGCTAACCTCATTGTCAGTCTTATCTTTTTACGCTTTTCTTCGATATGTTATCAGTATCTTAAAAAGGATTTTTTAGATATTTCAAGTGTTTTATTATTGGTAATACAACTGCCAGCTATGTGGTTTTTTGGGGCGATAGTAGCTATGTTCATGGTGCCTTCTATCCTGATATTTTTATTTCAGGCTTTATTTTCAGCTGAACCTCAAGAGTTTGTACTTATAGTGATTTATGCGTTAGGTCTTTTTTTGTGTTTGTTTCTTCTCTATATTATTATTACAGTTCCCCAAAAGAAACCAGTTCCTGTTTGGTGGCAGCGTTATAAGATGTGGCTTGTTTTTTTTACAACGCTTTGCTGGAATTGTATTTTTCTACTGTGCTTCTTTGCTTCTATGTCTGTATAGTCAAGGCGGATATCGTATTTTTCAATCTTATCAAAGAAGGTCTTTAGTACTTTTTTGTTATCAACAATGTGTAGCAGGTTTTCTTTGATCTATGTGTCTTATCTTGTGCATTTTTAGCCCAGGTTGTTCCGAGTCGTTGATCGAGTCTAGAAATTCGAAGGCAGCCTGAAATGAACGTAAAAGGTGTTCTGCTAAGTCTCTTGTTAAATTGTTTTTGACAACAATTCTAAACATAGTTTGTGTTGCCTGTTCATCATATAAGAGTGGTGTTTTTTCTTCTGTCAAGGGGTGATCAAAACTCATTTGGTAACCACTAACATACCAATGATGTTGAGAGAGTACATGTTGTAAATCAATATCGTCATAAGAAAAATTACAGGCTGGATTTAACATCGCGCTGACAACAGGTAGGCAATGTTTATCACCATGATCTAACAGGATAAAGCGGGGGATACCTTTATAAGTCATACTCTTTAGACCATCACGTAGGAATTTCGCGTTCTGCATCATATTGTCACAACACGTTTGATATCCTTTTTGGCCATAACGTAAAAATTTGTAGTACTGGACATAGACACCACTGGCAGGTCTCGAAAAATTTAAGGTATAAGAGTCCGCTTTTCCGCCAAGATAAGTTACGGAGATAGCAATATGCTCACTTAAATTTTTACGTTGACGCCAGATGATCCAGCCAGTGCCGCAACAAGATTCACCATATTTATGCCCGCTACTTGAAATCGATAGCACATTTTTGAGGCGAAAATCCCAAGGCGGTAGGTCTCTTTGAAATGGAGCAATAAAACCTCCTGAAGCAGCATCTACATGAATGCCAACTTGATAAGATTGTTCTGTATTAATCTCTTCAATAACTTGATCTATTTCCCATACAGGATCATATTGTCCAGCATAGTGGTTGCCCATAATACAAACGACACCAATCGTTTTTTCATCAATCGCATTACGGACTTTTTGGGGGCATAGTGTGAAGTTCTCTACTGATGGTTGAATAAATTTAGGCTCGATATCCATATATTTGAGTAGTTTTTCCCAAGCCGCTTGAAAGCAAGTTGATATAACTAGATTAGGGCGTATTGCTAGAACTTCTTCTGTATTTAAATTGTTACGTTTCGCATACCAAGCTCGCCAGCGAAATTTGAGGGCTAAACCTGCTAATAAACAAGCTTCTGTAGATCCTACTGTTCCTGCCCCAGGGTAAGTACCATATTCGGAAAAATCTTCAGGTTCTGGGCAGTGCCATAGGCGGGCAATCATATTAACCACACTATTATGCATTTTGTAGGATTGGGGGTAGACTGTTTGATCTGCCAAATTGACGCGTAATCCCATTAAGGCTACAGCTTCTTCATCTTCTTCGAAGCTAACGTTTACATAAGATGATGTATTTAACTGTTGGTTAAAATCTAAGGTATGTGTATTCTCAATGATTGTTTTTACGGTTTTTGATGCGTGTCCAGTTTCAGGAATTTGCATATTACCAAGCCAATTATGTTGAGCTGCACTTGAAACATAGTAGTTCTCATGACGCTGTTGTAGTTGGGCTAGTTGTGTGCGTAATGCTTTTATTTCAGCTTTTAATTTTTTAGTCTCCTCGGACATCTCTAATTACCTTCCTAAAATTTGAATTATGAGCATAAAATTAATGATTTTATCTAGTTCTAGATTAGTGTAGGGGGGATTATATTAAAATAGTAGTTTTTTTTGATTATTTAGGTTTTTGCTGTCTTGGAAAAATATAAGATAGTAAGAAATTATGGGTTAAACTGCGACGTTGACCGCCAAAATCGTAGCCAAACTGAACACGATGGTATCTAATTCTGAAACCACCTCGAATGTAGGTTGTTATAATTGAGCCTTTATCGTCTAAAATACCAGGGTTATTATTAAAAACAAAACGAAACCCTTGGTCAACACGTACTGTGATGTAAAAAATCCAGGGTCCATGTTTGCCTGCGGTTGTTCTTAGTAGTTCGTTAGACCATTCTATAAAGGCATAGGGAGCGATAAATTTGAACTCAGCGTTTTGCATATAGGTAGTTGCTAAACCAAGAAAAAAAGCCGATTTAGTTGCTGTGCCTGGTAGTAACTGTACTGATAGCGCAAATGTCCCACTGCCTAAGCGCAGCTTTGGTTCATATCTAAACCCGGCCCCCAGTCGAAGTTTTTTTGCAAAACGTAGCCAAAATGCACTTGCAACGGTTGAAAGGGCTTTTGGGGTCTTACTAGAAAAATACGTATTCCAATGTGTCTGATCTTTTCTGAGATCTAGGAGTCGATATTCAAAAGCAATTGCGGCGGTTTCCCAATTTGTAGCGTAATGTAAACCAGAAAGAGGGAGAAATACAGTATTTCCTAAATCTTGATAAACAAGTTCCCATTGTTCTTGAGATAAGGTTGCAGAAAGTACTGGTGTTGACGTAAATAATAGCGTCAGACAGATAGATAATAATTTTATGTTGTAGGACATACGAAGGTCATTTTACTGTATGTAGGATAAGAATTGCTTGATACACCTTGAGTAGCTAATAGATTTCAGTAGCTAATGGTCATTGCTTGAGGAAGGAGTAATCATAATTATGACAAAATATCATTCGGGCTGATACAGAACTGTTAAGACTTAACTTTTTAGGTCCAAGTAGAATTTTTAAGAGTCTATGTTGTTTGCATGTGTTTTTTAAATGAAACATGATGAATATGTTTTATACATTGTTATGTAAAGGTATTATAGATGATGTTTTGGGGCGTTGTTGGAGCTAGTTGTCTTTTTATAGGGGTGCTGTTGGGGGCTTTTGCTGCTCATGTTTTGAAAGAGCGTTTAAGCCCTGAATTACTAGCAATATTTGAAGTTGGTGTACGTTATCATATGTACCATGCTTTAGCTATTTTATTTATCGCGGTGCAGGTTCAAAAAGATAAAGCATTTATTTGGGCTGGTGATTTTTACCTTGCAGGTATTGTTTTGTTTTCTGGCAGTTTGTATTTATTGTCATTGACGGGAGTTAGATGGTTAGGAGCTATTACACCTATTGGCGGTGTTTGTTTTTTGGTTGGACATGCTTTATTAGCTTGGGCGTTTATACGTGTAGGTTAATAGGAGAGATTATTCTTGAAACGGAAAAAAAATACGGGTAAGTTAAGTCAAGAAGAAACGTTTTTATTTGAGGCACATCTTGATTATTATCCGCCACGTCGTAGTTTAGAGTATCAAAAAGCGACGACTTCAATTCAGAGAACAAAAAGTTTGCAAACTTTAGTTAAACAGGGAATAACGCCTGTTGATTATACAATAGATCTTCATGGGTTAACCTTGGTACAAGCAATGCAACGACTTCACCAGGTGTTTTTACGTGCACATCAAGCGGGTTGGCATATCATTCGTGTGGTGACTGGAAAAGGCTACCGTTCGCCAGGAGGTGAGGGGGTTTTATTACGTGAAGTTCCAGTAAAATTACGTTTAGATCCACGTGTTGCCGAAGTAATACAGGCGATAAAACCTAAAGATGGTGGTCGTGGCGCCTGGTTTGTACGGTTAAAGTAAACAAGCTGAACAGTTTATACAGTATTACCTTTTTCCAGCGAATCAAATAAACCTTTAACACCAGACTCTACAAGTTTATAGACCTGTTCAAAACCGTCATCTCCACCATAATAAGGGTCTGGGACTTCTCGCTCGGGTCCGTTATGGAAGTCTAAAAGTCTTACAATTTTTGCTTCTGGTCCTAAGATATTTTTCAGATTTTTTTTGTTACTGTTATCCATAGCAACAAAAAGATCAGTTGTGTGAATATCTTGTGCTTGTACTTGTGCTGCACGTCCATTACTAATATCTAGGCCCTGCTGTCTAGCTGTTTTTTGCATACGTTGGTCAGGTGGGGAACCAATATGCCAGCCGCCTGTACCTGCAGAGGTAAGTGTTAGAGATAAATGACGTGATGTCATTTCTTTAAAAGCAAGGCCTTCTGCTAGGGGGCTACGGCAGATATTACCTAGACAGACAAAACAGATAGATTGGATACTATGCATCAGAATATTTAGAATCGTAGAAAAGTACCGCTGTTATAGTTTTTTTATAACAGCGGTGTTGAGTTAAGAATATTTAAGCTTTTGCATAGGCTTGAATCAATAAGTCAGCGACTTCCGGGCGTGTGAATTCTTCTGGTGGGCGCTGGCCGTTGTCTAACATTTCACGTACTTTTGTACCACTTAAGAAAATACGTTCTTCGGGGCTGGAAGCAGTTGTTTTGGCAGTTGCCATTTGTTGTGTGCGTGTGCAATAAAAGGAATGTTCAAATTTTAGAATATGAATACCTAGATCATCAAAACTAAATTGGTTAAAGATGTCTTGAGCATCATAGGTGCCGTAGTAATCGCCAACTCCTGCATGGTCACGCCCGACAATAAAATGGCTGCAGCCGTAGTTCTTGCGTGTTAACGCATGAAAAATTGCTTCACGTGGTCCAGCATAACGCATTGCTGCAGGAAACATCGCTAAAAGAACACGTTTGGGATTATAGTACTTTTCCATCATAATTTCGTAGCACTGAACACGAATATCTGCAGGGATATCACCTGGTTTTGTTGCGCCTACGAGTGGGTGAATTATGAGGCCGTCAACACCTTCTAAAGCAACTTTTGTTAGATACTCATGAGCACGGTGGATTGGGTTACGTGTTTGGAAAGCGACAACTGTTTCCCAACCACGTTTTTCAAATTCACTACGCGTCTGTGCTGGTGTTAAACGGTGATCTTGGTAGAGTTGCTCTGGTAATTCAAAAGTGTGTACAGGGCCAGCAAGACGTTTTTCTGGGAGTCCTTGAACGTATTGTACACCAGGATGACTAGCATCATTTGTGCCAAAAACTGATGTTGTTTCACGTTCTAAATCTGGTTCATAAACTTCTTCAACTTCAACTAAGGCTATTTCACTCCCTTGGAAAGTTAATAAAATGGCGCCTACTGTTTGTGCGGCAGTGGCTGTGTCTTGATCGGCTGCTAACACAATTGGAAATGGCCAGACTAGGCCATTTGTTAAACGAATGTTGTCAATAATTGAATCGTAATCAGCTTTACCCACAAAACCAGTTAATGGTGCCATTGCACCAACTGCAAACATTTCGATGTCAGCAAATGTGTTTTCTGTAACCTCTATGACTGGCGCTTTGGGGTAGGTTTCTTTTAGTTTTTGTGCTTGCTCTTTAGAAACTGAACGGGGTGTTAATTGTCCACCATGTGGTGTCGCAACCATTGAAGTATTTCCTTTCTTTAAGTGTCTTGTCTTAGAAGTAACTTAAGACAGATTTTTCAAAATATTCTGTTTGGAGTGTGATTTTTTTTGAGTTTTATGTGGCATATAATTTTTTCTAAGTGTCTATGAATTCGACAATCATTTCTTTAAATTGTTCTGTCTCTTCATCAATTATCCAGGCTCGTACAGCTCCTGCTTTACCTTGGTCTACTCTATAGATGACCCAAACGAAACCAGGCCAATGTAGGGCAAATGTCCTATCTGTTTCACTAGCAATCTCTGGGCAGTCGGGGTGACTATGGAAAAAACCAATAACTTGTTCATCTGTGGCAAGTGCTTGTTCTGTTTTGTAATAAAATAATGGATCAATTTCAAAACGGTCATGACCACGTTCTTTATTTTGGTTTTCTGCTGTAACGATACGTGTGAGTACAGTACTTTTGTCAGAAGTGTTGCCAATCATGCATACCGCATCCTTCATTAGGATAAGCAGGTTCTAGGTGGCGTTGCATCTCGTGATGCAAATTTTCTGGAATGGATATTTTGTTTATCGGCATTAGATGCCTCCTCCTTGCAGCTGTGCAGATTGCCAAACGCGTGTTGTTAGGTAACGTGTCCCATGGTCTGGAAGAATAACAACAAAAACACCCTGCTTTACATCTTGTGATTTTTGTATAGATGCATTTAAGGCTGCTCCTCCGCTTGGGCAGGTCATTATACCTATTTCTTTTGCTAATAGTTGTACCGTTTCATAAGCTGCTTCGGTTTCTACAGGTATTTTGTCATCTAAAAGGTCTTCTTGGTAGATACCAGGCACAATGCTTGACGCCATATGTTTTAAACCTTCAAGACCATGGAAAGCGTGATCAGGTTCTGCTGCGATTACTTGTGTTTTGGGGTGGATTTTGTCAAAACCAGCGCGTAAACCCATGGCTGTTCCTGATGTACCTAGAGAGGCAAATGTATGTGTCACACGGCCTTGTGTCTGTTCCCAAATTTCAGGTGCTGTTGTTTCTGCATGCGCTTTTGGGTTTGCTGGATTATTGTATTGATCTGGCTTCCAATATTTTTCCGGGTTTTCTGTTGCCATTTGTCGGCTAACAACAATAGCACCATCACTGCCTTCTAATGGATCTGTTAGGATCAGTTTTGCTCCGTAAGCTTTTAGAACAGAGATACGTTCTTTGCTTGCATTTTCAGGAATGCAGAGCGTTACGGGAAAGTTTAAGGCTGCACCAATCATTGCGTATGCAATCCCCGTATTCCCACTCGTTGAATCCAGTAAAGTTTTTCCCCTGGTGAAATTTCCTGTCTCTAGACCATCGAGGACCATAGAGAGTGCCGCACGATCTTTTACTGAGCCTCCTGGGTTTGCTCCTTCAAGCTTGCATAAAATCTCTACATTCGGATTTGCTCCTAGACGTACTGGCCATTTTCCTAAATGTAGTAGGGGGGTATTACCGATGCATTCTAAAATGGTGCCACGGATTTTTTGAGCAGCTGGTCCAAATTGTAAAAAGCGAGATGTCAACAGAAATGAGATGAAAAAAATAAGTTTATAGATTAAGCTATATGACCACCTGCAATAGCAGGAATAATCGCAAGTTCATCGCCATCTTGTACTTCTGTATCTGGACCGTTTTGAAAACGGACATCTTTATCGTTTAAGAATAGGTTGACAAAACGACGTACATCACCGTTTTGGTCTAATAATTGATTAGCTAAATCGCTATGTTGTTGAATTAGGTGACCAATGCATTGCCGTACGGTGGAACCCTCTACTGAAACAATATCTTGTTCTTGGGTGAATTTGCGTAACGGTGTTGGAATCCGAATGTTAATAGCCATTTAGATACTCCTTATAGTTTAGATGTTCTATATGTATATATAAGTATAGATGAAATTGATTGATGGTGTGTGACAACTTTATTGAATATGACTTAGCCTTAGTGTAAAAAATTACACTAGGGTTACAACGGATAGCCTATTTAGTTTCCTTAAAATAATTATAAAAAGCATACATTATGTAGTTTATAGTTAGCTATTAGCTAACTATAAAAAAGATTAACAATTTTATTATAAAGTAGCGAATAGAAATGAAAAAAAGATTAGCAGCGTTATATGCTCGTCTGTTGGATATTGGTATCGATGTATCACTTCCTGAACGGCTTATGAGAATTCGTGCTCAATATAACATACTTTTTGTATCTAGTATGCTTACGTTGTGTAATGCTTTACTTCTCTGGTGGTTTGAGAAAAAACAGCTAGCCTTTATTATATTTATTGCCGCGATAGTGTATCTAGGGTACTTCTTTTTGTTGTTGCTTCAGATTAAACGTCTTTTTGATACATTCATTGTGTTTAATTTTCTATATTCGACAGCATTGATTTTGTTGATGGGAATTTTTTTGGGGCCAGCATTTGGTGTCCATTATTTATTTCTTTTTAATTGGATTTTTTGTACTTTATAGGACAGCCTCAAAGTTGGTTACCTTTATGTTATCTAATTATCTCATTATGTCTTTTTTATGTTGTTGAATTTGAGTGGGTACACTTTTTTATAGCAGTGCAACCGTTGTCACTAACAGTTCAGCAGGCAACAATATTGAAGGTAAGTGTTGCTGGCTCTCTTTTTTTGGGAGTTTATGTAACAACATCTATCTTTTTTAATACCATTAATCGTTATGCTAGAAAATTTGCAGAGATATTATATCAGCAGGAACTTACGGAGGCTGAGCTAAAGCGTAGTGAACACCGGTTTCGTAATGTTCTTCAGTTATTACCTTTAGGCATACATGTTTATCAACTAGAAAAAGGTACTACTTTACGATTAGTTGATTTTAACAAAGCAGCAGATACTATTTTAAATGTTGACCATCGCCGTTCTTATCTATATAAAACGATGGATGAAAGTTTTTCTCTTTCTCCAAAGGTTCTAGAAAATTGTTGTCGCATAGCTAGAGAAGGTGGTGTTTTAGAAACGCAAAATTATTCTTATCAGGATCAGAATATTTCCAGTATTTTTGATGGCTATAGTTTTCAAATAGCTCCCGATGAATTGAGTCTTGTTTTTCAAGATGTGTCAGCGCGTAAACAGGCGGAGTTAGAACTTCAGTTAGCTAAGGAGCAAGCTGAATCAGCTAATGTAGCCAAGACGCAGTTTTTAGCTAATATGAGTCATGAAATCCGGACACCGCTTAATGCCATTGTTACGCTTAGTCAGATATTGTTGGAAAAAGTAGAACAACATTTATTAACAGAAAACACGATTTTTAATACAACGTGTAAACGTTACTTAGATAGTATCCAGTTGGCAGGCAAAGATCTAAGTAGTCTTTTAGGTAATGTTTTAGATTTTGCTAAAATTGAGTCTGGTTGTATGGATTTAGAAGAGGTTTTTTTTGAGCTGAGAGAATTTTTACAAGATCTGTGTCAACTATATCAATTTGCCGCTGAAGAAAAGGGCATTACCTTAAGGCAAGAGGTCTCAGTTGATGTGCCCAATAATGTTTATCTAGATGAGGGGAAGCTGAGGCAAGTTTTGCTTAATCTGTTGAGTAATGCAATTAAATTTTCTCCTGAAAATAAATCTGTGACACTTCGTGTTGATAAACAAGGAGATCTTTTACAGTTTCAGGTTATTGATCAGGGAATTGGTATTTCTGAAACACAACAAAAAACTATTTTTGAGATGTTTGAGCAAGGGGATGCATCTCTTACAAGAAATTACACAGGAACAGGTTTAGGGCTTGCTATTAGTAAAAAACTAGTAGAAATATTAAAGGGGAGCATTTTTGTAGAGAGTGTGATGCATCAAGGAGCTACATTTTCTATCCAGATTCCATTTTTAGAATCAAAAAAGGAAGAAAGCATTTCTTTTAGAGAAGAAAAAAGCCAATTTCAATTATCAAATGAAAGTCCAGTGATTCTGGTTGTTGAAGATAATAAACTCAACCAGTTAACAATTACAGCATTATTTGAGTTATTTAATTTAACTATTCATTTAGCCAGCAATGGGCAAGAGGCGATACAAAAAACAAAGGTTTTAGATCCCGATTTAATTTTTTTGGATTTGCATATGCCAGATATGTCGGGTTTAGAGGTGATAGAGATATTACGTTCAATTACGGCATATCGTGATACGCCTATTATTATTTTATCGGCAGACGCTATAATTGAGCAGCAAGAAAAAGCTTTAGCTGTCGGTGCCTCTGCTTACCTGACAAAACCAATAGAGATCGATAAATTGTCTCTTTTATTAAAAAAATATCTATAAGAAACTGCTATAAAATAATTGTACTTACCGATATATAATTCAAAATGTTTTTTTAGAACTGTTTGTTTTAGCTATTGTGAAAGTCTTGCTAAGATAGACGGCGTAATCTACTTAGAATAAGTCTAAGCTTAAATAACGTTCGCCGGTATCACAGATAATGGTAATAACTGCTGTATCTGCTGGTAGGTCTGTTGCTACTTCTAGGGCAGCAACAACATTTGCGCCTGCACTAATACCGGCGAAGATACCAACTTCACGAGCGAGACGTCGTTGCATATCAATTGCTTCTTGGTCATCGACAAGTTCAATACGGTCAATTAGGTCCAGGTTGAGAATTTTAGGTATGAAACCAGCACCGATACCTTGGATATTATGATTGCCTGGTTTTCCTCCGGAAAGAACAGGACTTTTAGTCGGTTCTACGGCAACAATTGTTACATTTTCTTGTTGCTGTCTAAGGGTTTCACCAACACCGGTAAGGGTACCTCCTGTACCGACACCAGCAACAAATGCTGTAATTTCTAACCCCAGTTCTTGACTCGCTTGTAAGATTTCTGGACCCGTGGTTAGACGATGTGCTTCAGGATTTGCCGGGTTTTCAAATTGTTGAGGCATAAAAGCACGTTCTCCGTAATGGGCCAATAGTTCTTCTGCCCGAATAATAGCACTACCCATACCACCTTCATGCGGTGTTAGCTCTACGGTCGCACCAAAAGCTTGTAATAGTTGAATTCGTTCGGGGCTCATGCTTTCGGGCATGGTTAAGATACATTCGTAACCACGAGCTGCTGCAAGCCAAGCTAAACCGATACCTGTATTACCGCTTGTTGGTTCAATAATAATTGAGTCTGGTTGTAAGTTTCCTTTTGCTTCTGCCGCTAAGATCATACTACGACAAATTCGATCTTTAACACTGCCGCCTGGATTATGACTCTCTAACTTGGCATAAACGTGTGCACACCCTTTGTTATTTAGCGGACCTAGGTCCAAAAGAGGTGTTTTTCCTACAAGGTCAATAGATGAAGATATGATTGGAGACATTGTAATGATGATCTTACCTGTTAAATGTAATACATTGTGTTGTTTTTTTGGCCACTACGTAAGTGTTTTTCTAATTTTTGGTCGATACATGTTGCCAGTGTTATTTGTTCTAATTGTGCCCAAATATGCTCTTGAGTACAAAAAATATAGTAAGCAAGGCCGTTTCCTTCGATCTGTGTCAGTTTTGTTATTGTTTGGGGCTCTAGTATTTTATACATATCTGCAATAGATATATCTTCTGGGCGCAGTTTTAGTCGGTAGCCGCCATGGCTACCTCGTTTGCTTTCAAGTATACCGTGTTCTCTTAAAATAAGAAAAATTTGTTCAAGAAAACGTTTAGGAACGTTTGTTTCAAGAGCTATCGTGCGTACTTGAGTAAATTGACGTGGGCGGAGATAGCTTAAAAAGTATAAACCGGCTAAAGCATATTCAATTTTTTTTGAGAATTTTAATCCCATAATTTTCTAATATAGTTTCTAATATTAATATAAAATTATTTTTTGCTATAATTGGTATTTTATTTTTAATTATGTTCTATGAATTATGAACATAGATCTACTTAATCCTAATTTACGAGGGCAATAATGTCTAGTCTGAAGTTTTCAACGTTTTTTAAGATTTTTCAGTTTTTTTATGAATTAGGTATTCAGGATGATACTTCTGTCAAAGATGCAGTGTTTATTAGAAGTATCAACTTTTTTTGTCTGATTACGATTTTTACAACAGGTTTATATTTTTGGGTGGCTATAGGGTTACAGCTTTGGATTTTTTGTTTATTTGTAGCGATTTCGTTCATCTTGTTTTTAGGGATCGGAACTCTTAGCTATCTTGGCCGGCATCGCCAGTTGTTATTTTATTTATCTCTCTCTATCGACTTTGCAGTCTTAGGATGTTGTTTATTAATTGGGACAGAAACATATATTTATTATGTACTAATAACGAAAATAGGATTACCTGCTATAGCGTTTAATCAGGTACATATTACGCGTCTTTGTTTTTTGTTAACTGTGACAAGTATCGTTTTTGTTTTTATAACATTGGGACCTATATCTTATTTAGAACCGGTTTTTTCTTTAACTTTTCAACAGCAATTGATATTTCGTATTGTCTCAATTTCGTCGATGCTTTTTGGTTTTATAACAATGAGTTTGCAAATTCAATCTGTTTATTATCAAATTATTAATAAGTTACAACGTCTGATTAAGCAGCAAAGTCATACGCAGTCAGATTTACGTCAGGCTAAGGAGTTAGCAGAAGCTGCTAATATATCCAAAACGCATTTTTTGGCCAATATGAGTCATGAAATTCGAACCCCACTTAATTCAATTATTGGTCTTAGTCAAGTACTACTAAAGAAATCTACGCTATCTTCTTCAGATATATCTCAACATCATTTAGAAAGTATCCATGCTAGTGGGAAGAATCTGATGAAACTATTAAATAATATTTTAGATTTGTCTAAGATTGAAGCAGGGCATATGGAGCTGGTACAGGTGAATTTTCAGCTTGAAGAGTGGTTGCAAAGTCTGAGTGCTATCTATGGTGCTTCTGCTGAAGTCAAAGGTCTTATTTTTACGCAATTTATTTCTCCTAATGTTCCTCAGCGTATTTATACAGACAGAGAAAAGCTAGGTCAAGTTTTATTGAATTTATTAGATAATGCAATTAAATTTACTCCTAGGGGTAAGAAAATTCGTTTAGAGGTTGACTATCAGGAAGAATTGTTGGCTTTTCATATTATTGATGAAGGTATTGGTATTTCTGAGATAGATCAAAAAAAGATTTTTGAAAAATTTGAACAGTTAGATGGGTCTCCAGGTCGTCTCTATCCTGGCGTTGGTTTGGGGTTAGCAATTAGTAAACAAATTGTTCATTTATTAGGCGGCTCATTAGACGTAAACAGCACACCTGGAAAAGGTTCTATTTTTTCTGTCAAGATACCGTTAGCTAATGTCCAAATTGATCATAAGCAAAATCGACTTTTCAAGATGCCAAATCAATTAGATAGTTTTTCAGAAGATGCTGTTGTTCTTGTTGTAGAGGATAATCCTACTAATCAGGAAACATTTGTTGCGTTGTTTTCTGCATTAGGCGTTTCTATCCATCTTGCTAGCAATGGGCAAGAGAGTATCGAGCAGGCAAAAAAACTAACGCCAGATTTAATTTTTATGGATCTTCATATGCCAGGTATGTCTGGTATCGAAGCAATGCAGGAAATTCGTAAGCAAGAAAGTTGTCAACAAATACCTATTATTATTCTTTCTGCCGACGCTTTTCTTGAAAAACAGGAGAATGCGTTAGCTAAAGGTGCATCAGGTTATCTAACAAAGCCGGTTGAATTGCTAAAATTACAGGCTACTCTTGCAACATATTTGCAATCAGGTACAAGCTAGTAGTGGTTTTTGTCTAATGTGTTTTTAGGGTGCTGGATTTGGTGTTTTTTGATGAATAGCTTCAATTTTTTGTAAAACTTCTGAAGGTAAACTTAGGTTTATGCTAGCAATATTGGCGCGTAATTGGTCAAGGGTTGTTGCGCCAATAATTGTTGATGTAACAAAAGGGCGTGAGTTTACATAAGCTAATGCCATTTGAGCGGGGTCGATATGGTATGTTTTTGCAAGTTCAACATAGGCTTTCGTAGCTTGTTGTGCTTGTTTATTACTATAGCGTTGGTAGTTAGGAAAACATGATAGTCGTGCCTGTTTCGGTTTTTTAGCGGCTAAATATTTGCCAGATAAAACACCAAAACCTAGTGGTGAATAAGCTAGTAAACCAATCTGTTCTCTTAGGCTTATTTCGGATAAACCTATTTCAAAAGATCGATTCAACAAATTGTAAGGGTTTTGGATACTTTGTATACGTTGTAATTGGTTGATTTCTGAAAGTTTGATGTATTGCATCATACCCCAAGGTGTTTCATTCGAGATCCCGATATAGCGGACTTTTCCTTGTTGAACTAGCTCGTTTAAACACTCAAGAGTTTCTGTGATTTGAATAGGGGTTTCATCTGCTTGGTGTTCATAATTGAGTTGACCAAAAAAATTCGTTGTTCTGTCAGGCCAATGGATTTGGTATAGATCAATGTAGTCTGTTTTGAGCCGTTTTAAGCTGCCATCAATAGCTTGTAAAATTTGTTTACGGTTAGGGTGTGTTTTCCCATTACGGACCCAAGGCATCCAAGGAGCAGGCCCTAGCACTTTTGTCGCTAGTATAATTTGTTCTCTTGTTTGTCTCTTTTGTAGCCAGTGTCCAATTATTTCTTCTGTTTGAAACTGTTTTGCTGGAGTGGGGGGGATTGGGTACATTTCCGCAGTGTCAATGAAGTTAACACCTTGAGCTAAGGCGTAGTCTAACTGTTGAAATGCCTCTTGTTGTGTATTTTGTTGTCCCCAGGTCATTGTTCCTAAACAAATAACGCTGACCTGTAGTTTTGTGTTACCTAAACGGCGATATTCCATAAGCCTAAATATGTTTTTCTAGATAGTTATGACGATGTTTTTTTATCATAGAATTTGTTTTTAATGAGTCTCGTGTTTTTAATGATCAGCTAAATCTAAATAAAATTAAATACATCTGACATTATAACGTGGTATTCTAGACAGAAATAATTCTCATCTAACTCTCAGATACAGCTCAGATTATATCTTTCGTATGTCGAAAAGAAAACAGATTTTAAAGGTAGCTGCAGATCAATTTGCTGCTAAAGGTTTTGAAGGTGCTTCTTTGCGTTCTATTGCATCAGCAGTTGGTATCCAAGCAGCGTCGATTTTTTACCATTTTCCTGAAGGTAAGGAGCAGTTATATAGTGAGATTATTCAGCAAGTTATTGATAAAATTACAGAAGATGTGATTCAGTGGCAAAGTCGATCAGATAGTCCTGTAACGACAGTTGTAGAATTGTGTATACGTTTATGGGATTATTTTTCCTATCAAGAGGCCGCCGCCGCGGTTATTTTACGTAATACTCTAGAGCCTCAGAATACTCGTAGTAAATGGGCTTTTGAACAGGTCTATCAGATAACACAGCTTGCAGAATCTTTTATCGAGGCAGCACAGCAGCGTAAAGAGTTACGACAATTTAGTGCTTCTTCATTTATGTTTTGGGCCTGTAGTTATATTCTTAGTTTTCATGGTGCAGCCGGTATTCGGGAATCTATTTGGGGTGGCTCTCAGGAAAAAAATAACAAAAGTATCGCTAAAGAGCAGTTTATAACGGAATTAACGTATTATCTTACACCTTGAATAAAAAAACTTATGTAAAAAGTTGTTGAATATAGTCTTCTGAAAAGCGTTTAATAGCATCTTGTTTTTTCTCTAAGTCGCCAAGAGGCGGAACGCCATACAGTAGCCAGGGGACTGTAACAACATCTGTAATACCAATATCGCGTTGTGCTTTGTAACCATCTAAACCAAATTGGTCAATACAAACAGCTTGAATCTCAAATGAATCCTTCTGGCGCCCACGATCGTTGAGCAACGTGTGTAATTTTTCGATGGTTTCTTTTAGCTCTACTAGCGTCATCATCGCTGACGTCCAGCCATTACCATAGGTTACAGCGCGTTTTAAAGCTGGTAAAGAATGTCCGCCAATATAAATAGGTACGTTCTCTGATGGAGCTGGGCGCATTTTGATGCGACCAATATCAAAAAAATCACCGTGATATTCAAACCAATCGCCTGTGAGTAGACCTTGAATAATTTCTAAAGATTCATTGACCCGTTTGCCACGCTGTTTAAATTCTGTACCACACCATTTAAATTCTTCTGGGAGCCAACCAATGCCAGCGCCAAACCCAAAGCGATTCTGACTTAAAACGGCAAGCGAACCTAATTGTTTTGCCAGTAAAACAGGATTTCGAACACCTACCTTGATGACGCTGCTATAAAAGCGAATATGTGTCGTTGCTGCTGCGAGACTGGCTGCAGCAATCAGTGGTGACACAAAAGGTGTATCTTCGGTCCACATGCGTTTGCCGTCTGATGTATAAGGGTAGGCGGCAGATACTTCTTCTGAATAAAAAATAGAATCAGGTAGTGCAATTGATGTAAAACCATATTCTTCAGCGGTTTTAGCAAGCTCAATGTAGTGCTCAGGATTGGTCATTGCTAGTGACATTGTAAATTTCATGTTTATTTCACCTCTTGTCTCAATGTATCAATCTTAAATATGTTATAGGGCATTTTCAAATTTATATGTAAATGTTTGATCTGTTGTTAATTCTTGATAGGACCCAAAAATTTCTTGTGGGTGTTCAAGTTGTGACAGTGGATCTTGCTCTATTTCTTGTTCCTCTAGAACGCGGCTAAATTGACGGTGTATTTCGTAGGTCGTACGACGTTCGACTGGAACTCTACCCGCATCACGAATGGCATGACGTAACATTGCTGGTGTCATGAGCTGGCCGTGGCTTGCACCTGCTGTTGTTGAAATGCTTTCATTCATTAAGGTGCCACCTAGGTCATTGACACCACAATTAAGTAGCCAAGATGCCATCCGTAATCCCTCTTTGACCCAAGAGGCTTGAATGTTTTTAATCGTAGCCCCCAACATAAGGCGTGCAATGGCATACATTCGAATAATATCATTGCCTGTAGGGCCTGGTTGAACACCTGTAATGTCTTGTTTTATAAATAGGGGGGCTTCTTGATGGACAAAGGATAAGGGAACGAATTCTGTAAACCCTCCTGTCTGTTTTTGAATATCTCGAAGCAGCGCCATATGCGCAGCACGTTCCTCTTTGGTTTCTACATGACCAAACATCATCGTTGATGTTGTCGGGATACCAAGCTTATGAGCTGTGGTAACAATTTGGATCCACTCTTGTGTTGAAATACGACCAGGAGAAATACGTTTGCGCAGTGTATCATTTAAGATTTCTGCAGACGTACCTGGTAGAGAACCAATGCCAGCATCTTTTAGGGCTGATAAATAGTCGTAAAATGTGCGTTTCGAACGAATGGCACCATACTTTACCTCTTCTGGAGAAAAGGCATGTAAATGCAGTTTAGGTAGGGCTTGGTGCAACTCACGGCACAAATCAATATAGATTTCTCCGTCAATAGATGGTGCTAAACCTGCTTGTAAGCAGACTTCGGTTGCACCATAGGAGAGGGCTTCTTGAGCACGGCGAATAATTTCATCTGTCGGTAAAAAATAGCCTTCTTCTGAACGTAAATCTCGAGAAAATGCACAAAATTGACAGGTCTTGATACATACATTGGTGAAATTGATATTTCGGTTGACCACATAGCTAACTTGATCTCCACACTGAAGTTCTCTGAGGTAATCTGCTGTTAGTACTAATGCTGTTAACTCAGGACCTGTTACTGAAAACAGTGTAGTAGCATCGTCTTGCTTGAGTTCCTTACCTTCTAAGCAATGCTCAAGAATCGTACGGATGTTAGGTGTTATTGTTTGTAAAACGGATTGTAAATCTGTCATATCTTTAAGCTGCGGGCCTACCCATTTTTTGGGGTGGTACATCGAATAAGGTTTGTAATCGATAGGACTGTTTTTGGACGTGTTCATGTAGGCTAGCATCTAACCATGTTGACGTCATATAACGTTCATATATCGGGAGACGTGGTTTAAGAGAAAACCCCATTTCTTGACACAGGTTACGTAGATGGTCAATCATTGGCCAGGGATGCGTATGATTAATATAATCTGGTGTTACTGGGGAAATACCGCCGAAATCATTAATACCAGCTGCAATTAATGTTTGTATCGTGCTGGGATTTAAATTGGGTGGGGCCTGTACACTAATCTCGTCCTCTAAGATGAGGCGCGCAACTGCTACTGTCCAGGCAATATCCTGAGCATTAGGTTCTGGATATTCAGACATCGGTGTTGTTTCTTTGGCACGAAAGTTTTGGACAATGACCTCTTGAATATGACCGTAAGCACGGTGTAAGTCACGAATAGCTAAGAGTGTGTCAATACGTTCCTGACGTGTCTCACCGATACCAATAAGTAAGCCCGATGTGAACGGAATACGTAGTTCTCCTGCTTGTTGTGTCATGTGTAGCCGGCGATCAGGGTGTTTATCTTTAGCACGATAATGGGGCATGCCTTTGCTGCAAAGTCTTAAGCTAACATTTTCTAGCATTAACCCTAAACTAACATTGACTTCGCGTAGCTTCACCATATCGTCTTTTTTTAGGATGCCTGCATTTGTATGGGGCAGGAGGTTATGTGCTAATGCCTCTTTTGCTGACCAGTAGAGATAGTCAACCGTTGATTCAAACCCCCAGTTATGAAGTAACTTGGCATAGCTTTTAAATGTTGTTTCCGGTGTGTCTCCTAGACAAAGTAGGGCTTCTATACAGTTGTTTTCTTGTCCTTGTTGCAGGGCTGCTGTGATTTCACTGGGTGTCATTGTCCACTCTCCAACTTGTCCTGGAGAGCGCCGAAAAGAACAATAGTCACAAAAGTTACGGCATAAATTTGTTACAGGTAAAAAGACTTTTGGTGAAAAGGTTAGTGTTTTTCCCCAGTAAGCTGTTCTACGTTTAGCTGCAGCGGTAAACAACTCTACTAAGTGTTTTTCTTTTACACCAGTTAAATCGTAAGCTGTCTCTTTAGAAATAGGACTTGAGAGATCCATATTCGGTAAATCTTTCTAAAAATATCAGGGCAAACAGTAGCGAAGTATTAAGTAACCCTCATATCTTACGTATCTTTTTTAACAGATGCATCTGTTAAATTTTGTTCTACATTTGCTGCGTCTAAAAATGCAGGACGCTCGCCAGCACCATGGGCAGTAATGCTGGTTCCACTTAGATAGCTGGCAGCATCTGAAGCTAAGTAAAGGCAAATGCCTGCAATGTCTTGAGGTAGAGCTAAACGGCCTAGTGGTACAGTTGCAGCGACAGCGGCAATACCGTCTTCATCACCATAATGAAGATGAGATTGTTCTGTCAAAATCATGCCGGCTGTAATGGCATTGACTCTAACTTTAGGAGCCCATTCTACTGCCAACGATTGTGTTAAATTGAGTAAACCTGCTTTGGCTGCGCCATAAATTGCTGTACCTGGGGAAGGGCGCGTGCCGCTAACACTAGCGATATTGATAATACTTCCACCGTTTTCCTGTTGTTGCATCAAGGTATTTGCTGCTTGAGCACAGTAGAGTGGCCCAAGCAAATTTAAGGCAACAATTTTTTCAGAAAACCGTGGCGACATATCATCTGCTAAGGCAAAAGGTGTGCCTCCTGCATTATTAATGAGGACATCTAAACGTTCGTAACGGTCTTTTATTTGTTGAATCGCTGATTCTATTTGTTGTGAGTCACGTACGTCCATGGCAATAAACGCTGCTTGGTTATCGCCAAAACTTGGTAGAGTTTCGGGCTTATTACGGCCGCTAACGATAACCGTTGCACCAGCCTGTAAGAATGCTTCAGCAATACCACGTCCAACACCTTTTGTACCGCCTGTGACCAAGATAACCTTAGCTGAGAAATCAAAATGGATGGTCATCGTGATGCTACGAGTTTCCTACCGTGTGGTAAGCACGGCGATAGTAAATAAGTGGTTGTTGCGTATCATCTGCAGCTGCTTCAATAACACGACCAATCGCAATGCAGTGGTCACCTTGAATGATAAGGTCATGAACGTCACAGGCCAGATAAGCCGCGCAATCAGGGATAATGGGTTGGTCATTTGTCGTTAACTTGCCTGCATACCCATCAAAATCTGGTGTTGGTTCGCGCCCGGGACGTGCAAAACTATTGGATATCTCTTCCTGTCCATGGGCTAAAATACTAACGGCAAATTGCTGAGATTCTTTTATCATTGATGGCAATCGGTTGGTACTAGCGAGACAAACAAGGACTAAAGGCGGTTCTAAGGAAAGTGAACTAAAGCTTGAAGCTGTCAGGCCATACATGTTGCCATCTAATTTTGTGCTGACAACTGTAACTCCTGATGCCCAAGAGGCGAGTGCTTGTTTAAATGCGTCTTGAATGGAAGCCATTGCTGTTTAATATCCTTTTAGTGTTGCTAAGCGGTTTTTATGCCAGGCAGCATCGCCAAATAGGGTAGCTGCTGCACGAGCCCGTTTAAAGTAAAACCCAATATCATATTCATCTGTCACACCAACACCACCATGCATTTGGATACCTTCACTGGTAATTCGTTCAAAGGTGTCAGTCATTTTTGCTTTTGCTAGAGAGGCGAAGAGTGCAAGATCTTGATTTTTATTTCCCGCTGCTGCAGCTGCTGTTAAAACCGCAGATCGTGCTAAGGATAGATCTACAAATAGGCGCGCAGCCCGATGTTGTAATGCCTGAAAGGCTCCAATTGGCTGGTCAAATTGCTGGCGTTCTTTTAAATAATCCAGTGTTAAATCAAAAGCTGCTTGTGCAGCCCCCAGCATCTCAGCCGATAGTGCAATCGTTGCGAGATCAAAAATAGGGTCAAGTAGCGTTGCTGCCTCATTTTCTGACCCTAAACGTGCGCTCTCTTTTACGATTATATTTGTACATTCGATGATGGCGGTATTGCGGCCATCAATTTGGTGCTGCCTGGTTACCTTTAGGCCCGTCTGATCTTTTGGGACAAGAAATAGTGTCAGACCATCGCGGTCTTGAGTCTGGCCACCTGTGCGAAATAACATAATATAGGTATCACTTATATGGCCGTCTAAAACGTGTGTTTTACGGCCGTTTAGCGTGTAGGTATCCCCTTCACGTTTGGCAGTCGCCTCAATATGGTAGCGATTATAGTGACTTTCTTGTTCTTGGTGGGCAAGGGTTATGATCAGGTTGCCGGTAGCAAGTTTTGGCAGGAATTCTTGACACAGCGTTTTATTGCCAGCCATTTTTAAGAGTTCCGTTGCTAGAATAGTCGTTGATAAAAGGGGCTCTGGCATTAATTTACTACCAGTCGCTTCTAAGAGTAAGCAAACTTCAAAAAAACTTAAATCTGCGCCACCATAGGTTTCCGGAATTGCCAGTCCTAAAAAGCCTAACTCTGCTAATTGTTGCCAAAGTTTTGGGTCATAGCCTGGTAAACTGCGGTCGTCACGGTAACGTCGTAGCGCCTCAATATCTACTTGCTCTTGAACAATTTTGGTGATGGTTTCAACAAGTAATTTTTGTTCTGTTGTTAATATCGTGTTCATATGACATTTATACCGACGGTAACCCTAAAACACGTTTGGCAATAATATTAAGCTGAATTTCTGAACTGCCACCTTCAATTGTACTGGCGCGGCTGCGTAACCAATCTCGTGTTGTCGCCTGTTCTTCGTCTGTAAATCCAGGACCTTCCCAACCTAGTGCTTGTGGGCCTGCGATTCGTGTTGCTAGATCAAAACGACGTTGTTTGAGTTCGCTGCCACATAATTTTAAGATTGAGCTTTCAGGGCCTGGTGCGGCACCTGCTGCCAACGTTTGCTGAATACGCTCGGTGGTTAAACCGTAGCACATTTCATCAATAGCGTAGTTGACAATGTCGCAGCGCAAAAACGGATCTTTCAGTGGGCCTTGTGGCGTATTTTGGTAGGTACGGGTAGCTTCAACGAGCTTCATTTCAGTACCAGTAAGTTGGGTACCAATAGATTTGCCAATCGTTGTACGCTCATAGCCTAGTAAGGCTTTTGCAACTTGCCAACCGCTGTTTACCTGACCAACTATATTGTTGACATTAGCTGTCGCGTTATCTAAGAAAACTTCGCAAAAAGGTGAACTACCGCTAATCAAGGGAATCGGGCGTACAGAGATAGCATCTTGCAACATGTCAACCAAGATAAAGGTGATACCTGCTTGTTTTTTAACGGTTTTATCTGTACGGGTTAAACAGAAAATCCAGTCAGATTTATCGGCGTGGGAGGTCCAAACTTTTTGCCCGTTGATGATGACCTTATCGCCATCAATCTCAGCTGTTGTTTGCAAGCCAGCTAGATCAGAACCAGCTCCTGGTTCTGAATAACCTTGACACCAGCGGGTTTCGCCAGAAACAATTTTTGGTAAATGTTCTTTTTTTTGGGTTTCTGTACCGTAATCAAGTAGGGTTGGTCCAATCATCACCAGGCCAAAGCCCACAAGCGGTGGTGGTACTTTAAGACGCTCTAATTCTTGTTCAAGAATCTCTGCTTCATCGTGTGTTAAACCGCCTCCACCATACATGGTTGGCCAAGTTGGTGCTGTAAAGCCTTTTTCGAGACTCACCTCAAACCAGCGTTTGACGTCCGCTTCAGGCTCTGGGTGCAAGCGGCCGCCCCAAAAGCCGTCAAAGCGGCCTTTGCGTGTGCCATAAAGAGACTGCGGCACATTCGCTTTTAGCCAAGCTTGCAGGTCTTTACGAAATAGATCTAAATTGGCCATATTTGGTGTTTAAGCAGGTGCTCTGTTAGACGTTGGAGCTGTCGAAGCTTCGGAATAAAACTGTTTATACCATTTGCGTAATTTCATAACAGGGCCGTCGTCACCGCATAAAAGTGGCACATCACGGTAACATTTGTTTTCCCAAATTTCGATATCTTCTAGAAAACCTGTGGTTAAGTTATCAATATACCCCTTAGAAAAGCTTTCGGTCTGTTTTGGGTCAGTACCTTTTTTGAGCATGACACCAAAGCGTAAATCTAAGCTATTTGCGTCGACCATTGTATGGGCATTGATTAAGCGGCTTTCTAAGAAACCATTCATCACAGAAATTTGAAAGCCAGGGCCGTAATACGTTGCTGTTAGGTCGAAATAATCCTTACCGCCACCACGGGGGTAAGCAACCCCTTTGTTATATTGAATCGCTTTATGCTCATTAAAATCATTGGAAAATTCTTCAATAATTGTGCCATGTACAGGTGCAAAATGGGCAATATCAACAACATTTTCGACGATTTCACGAGAATGGGTCTTGATATGAATTTTACTATGTTCCCAGTAGGTCCATTCTTCGGATTCAGATTCTGGCAGTAGTGGAATTTCAAAATCAGGTGCCTTGCCTTCGGGGTCAAACCAAAGGAAGATAACACCATTTTTTTCTTGTAACAGCCAAGTTGTTGTCCAAGAGCCACTTGCTGCTCGTTTTGGGATATCTTGGCAATAAGGTATTTCTGTACACTCGCCTTGTCCATTAAACCGCCAAGAATGAAATGGGCATTCTAGGGTGTCTTCAATTACTTTGCCTTTACCTAAGTCCATCCCTAAATGTGGGCAATAGGCATCAATGACATGAAGGTCTCCAGATTGACCGCGAAAACAAACCAGCCGATGGCCAAAATAGGTCATCGATTTGACGTCCCCAGGTTGATATTCATTGGAAAACCCAATTACAAACCAACCGCGAGGAAATCCCTCTATACGATCTTTACGTCGTTCTGTACGTTGTTCCATAATCGCGTTACGACTCTTCTAAACGGATTGCTGCCCGTGGGCAATTTGCAACAGCTGATTCAAGCTGTTCACGTAGGGATTCATCGGGATTTTCATTTAGAACGGTTAACGTGTCGTCTTCTTCTACGCGAAAAATCTCGGGTGCGATTTGTTCGCAAATGGCATTTGCTTCACAGGAATCATAATCTATGATAATTTTCATGCAGCCTCCTCACTAGTCTGTTGTGGGCGTAACGATAAACCATGACGTTCTTCTAAATGTGCAGCGATTTTGTTGGCTAACTCTTCTGCTGCTGGCACAAGTGCTGGTTCGATCATCGCATTGACCATCGGTCCCATCGGGCCGCCAGCTTCCATGGCCAATGTAAAGGTTAGCTCTGTGGCATTATCTTGAATTTCAGAAGCGTCAAGTTGTTTGCGTTCTGTTGTTTCATTAAACCGTTTAAATAACAAGCGAAATAACCAAATCATAAAACGTTTGATGAGGCCTAGGCGCTTTGGGGCTTTGTTTTGTTCTGATGATTCTGTTTGTGTTGGGGGGGCACCGTAAGGGTACATTGTGAACTCGCCATTACCCTCAAGAGGCTCGGAGACGCCTTTTAAGGTAAAAGTTACTTTTTCTGGGCCTTGCCACTCTGTAATGTGTACTGCAAACTCAATGGTGCGTTGTAAAATGCCCACATCTCCTTTGAGTGTCCAGGTCGAATCGGTCTCTGATTGCACCTCATGGCTTTGGTAGCCGGTTACAAAGGGTGCCCAGTTATTCATATCCTGGACAAAATCCCAGATTTTGTCGCGATCTAAGTTTAGAACGGTACTGTATGTTGCCGCAGGCACTAGAGAATGCCACACATATGTTGTGCCGCAACGTAGCCCCACGTCATATTACGTAAGTTCGACAGGCCACTTTGGTAGCCAGCCCCGGTATCTAGAGGTGCTGCCGCATTACCACAGGCATACAGGCCTTCAATCCCATGACCACGTACATGTTGTACTTGGCCAGTGGCTGTGGTTTTCAGACCAACACAGTTGACACCAACACCAACTGGAATCAGCTTAATACCGTAATAAGGTGCTTTATTGAGTGGGCCCATATTGGGGTTAGGGCGATCACGGTCACCAATAAACTTGGCAGCCCAAGGATAGGTGCCACGACCAAAGTCTGGATCTGTTTCACCATCAGCAAAGCTGTTAAAGCGTTCTAGCGTTTCAACAAAATTATCGGCATCAATCCCCAGTTTTTCTGCTAATTCCCGCGGCGTGTCGGCTTTGACAATCATTTCATCTGGGATTTGCATACCGGGTAAAAAGGTGGCAAAGCTATATTTTTCGCGGTAATTGCTATCAAAAATAAGGTAGGGGGGGTAGTTGGTATGTTGTTGTTTGACCCCGTCCCAGCCATGGACTTTCGGTAAGTATTCACGGTAGAAGGATTCGTCACAGAACCGCTTGCCTTCATCGTTGACCCAAATGGCATGGGGGTAACCGCCTTCCCATGAAGCGCGGCATAGTGGGTGCCCATCGTGTTCTTCACCAGGGATGGTATAGCCAAAAAACATACCTAAGTTATAGCTTGGTACGCCACCAAGGGATGCGCCAACTTCACCACCAAGGACAATGTTATCGCCATGTAGATGAGGCTGACACATCGATTTCCATTCTGGCAGTCCTTCAAATTGAATCGCCATTTCTTCATTCCAGTCATAGCCACCCACACCAAGCAGTACACCTTTATTTGCTTTGACAAAAAAGTCATTGCCATCAGCAGCTTCGGCGCGTACGCCAATGACGCGACTGCCTTCTGTAATGAGTTCTCGCACGGGAGTTTCGACAAACGCTTGTGCGTTTGTGCGGTCAATCAGCGCTGCTTTGACGAAATAGCCCATCATACCCGGGCCCATCCCCCGTTGATCCGCACCAATTTGTTTGCCCATATGAGCAAAATCCCATTTGGTAACACAGGAAACACTGCCCCATTCAAACAAGGTGTCATGGTTGATGCCGGGCGGCATATGTGGGGTTAAATAGGTCTTTTTTTGCCATTCTTTTAGGTCAGGGCCATTAAAGAGTTCAACTTCTAGGTAGCGGCCTTCTGCAAGGGTACCTGGTGCATGGGGGTAATGGTAATCGGGAAAGCCTTTGATGGTTTTCCAGGCAATACCGGCTTTTTCGCCTAAATACTCTGCTGCTTCACGGCCTTTATCAAATAAAATACGTTGTAGGGCTTTGTTGGCATAACCGCCAGCTAAGAAATCTAAATAGGCAAAGGCTTCTGTTTCGTTATCTTCTGTGCCCTCGGCAAGCATTTTGTAATTGCAGGGGACAAAGACCTCACCACCAGAGTAGGCACACACACCGCCTAATTTGGGGGCTTTTTCTAAGATTGCCACCTTTAGACCATTGTCCTGGGCAACGATTGCTGCACTCATGGCTCCTAAACCGGAACCGGCAATGACAACATCGACTTCTAAATTCCACTGTGCGGGTGCTGTGGCCATCGTATAGAACTCCTAAATTCGTCGTATTTAATAAGAAATTTCATAATAGAACACGTTTCACTGCGCTGCAAATAATCTGGGAGTTTTTGATTTGATATGGGGGTGGGGATTTTGTTTAGAATGGTTATGTGGGGAGAGAGTTAAGGGGGGAATGGGAGGTAACTTTTGGGTTGTTAGAGCTCTTAAGGAGACAATAGTGAAATCTGTGCTTGATAATCTTGCTAAAACTATTGATAGGGCATCCACTGAAAGAGATATTGATGTATTAAATGATTCTATTTTAAAAATCGAGGAGCTTCTAAGTCGAGAATTATCTCCGTTTGAAAAAGCTCAGCTCTATTTCTTCAGTGCAAATTGTTATTCAATGAAGAGAATCATTAATGGAGATGTCTATGGATGGGCCTGGGAAGATGAAAATTTAGAAAAAGAGATATCTTATCTCAGGTACTCCTTAGCGGAATGTAAGTCTATTCCGTTCAAAAAAGATGGATCTGATTTAAGATTTAGGGTCGAAACGAATTTAGCTAATGCCCTAAACCATGTCGGACGTTTTGTTGAAGCTCTTGAGTCTTGGGGAAATGTTCTAAAGGATTCTCCTGAATACGCAATGGCTGTCGGAAACAGAGGGCATTGCCTTTTTTGGTATGCCAAATACTTATATGATCCAGGGCATCAATCTATTTTTCTGAATGAAAGCTACCAACAGATAAAAAGTGCATTAGACATTGGTGTAGAAGAACATGCAAAAAATGGGATGTGTAACTTGCTAAATTACCTTAAGTCATTGAATAACTGGAATGAGTTCGAATTTTATCCTGAAGAGGTCTCAAGAGGTAGGTCGAAGCTTGAGCGTTCCTATCGCACCTGGTGCATTAAAAAAAGGTTATTTTTAAATCCGCTTAATGATATTTGGAAACATGATATTGTCGCGAACGATATACTTACTTTTCCCTCTATTATTACACCTATAGTGGATCCAGATAGTAACAATATATTTCCAGAGGTCTATGGCATATACAATCAGCTCAAACAGGAATTTGTATCTGCCCGCTATATTATGTTTGAAGCAATAGAGGAGTCAGAAAGTAGATTACATTTTTCAGATAAACGAGTAAAGCTATACGATATGTTAGATTATCGAAAATATCGATTATGGATAGAAAAACTAAAAATGGCTTTTCTATCAGCGTATGCAATTTTTGACAAGATAGCGTATCTAATTAACGAGCATTGGCAGCTGTCGGTCGATACCCAGAGAGTCCAGTTTAATACGATATGGTACAAATCAGTTAATCGTGGAAAAGGACTTTCTAGTCACTTTTCTGATTATGATAACTGGCCTCTCAGAGGCCTTTTTTGGCTAAGTAAAGATCTATACTTTAAGAACAACGAGAATAGCCCTATCGAGCCGGATGCTCGTCTTCTTAATCATATAAGAAATCATATTGCTCATAAATATCTTTGTGTATACGATAGGGTTTGAGTATACGATAGGGATTTAGATTTTAAGTGCTCTAGACAAAAAGGTAAGAATCATTTGGCATTTCGAATTACTGATGACGAATTTAAGTCTCAGTCAATAAAACTATTGAAGCTAGTTCGTAGTGCGTTAATTTATTTGTCTTTGGCAGCCCATAGCAAATCATCAGAAGAAAATATTAGAGAAAGGCGGATAATTAGAATGGATCTCTATGAAATTGAAGATTCATTTAGGCTGTAGCTTTAATAACGGAAGAAAAAAAGGATTGTTATATATCTACCTCTTGAAAGTTGTTTTTTATCTTGCAAAATCTATTTAAAATTGACAAAATGTAAACAAGTCGAAAACATGTTGATTGTCTATGAATTATAAAGTTGTCCTCATTACTGTACTGACGATGCTTCCGTCATTGGCACTGGCCAGTGATAAAAGTGATCAGACGATCTCATTTGAGCAACGAGATAGAGATAATATCGAGCAAGTTGCAACAGATGTATATGCGATAGATAAGCGTCTCATTCGTTTAGAGCAACGTTTCGATGTAATAGACGAGCGTTTTACATTTGTTGATCACCGTTTTAAGGCAATTGATCATCGTTTTGATGCGGTGAATCAGCGTATTACAGATCTCAAAGATTCAATGCAGCAGCAGTTTCGTGATATTCGTGCTCTGCTTTATGTGCTACTGGCCGGTATGTTTACCTTGGTTGGGTTTATTCTTTGGGACCGTCGTACAACCCTTGCGCCTGTGCAACGATTGCAAAGAGACCATGACGAGCAACTAACAAGCGTGCGAAACGTATTACTCGAATGGGCTGCGGATCAACCAAAGCTTGCAGCAACGCTGAAGCGTTTTAATATCTTGTAATCTTTTAAATAGTTAAGTCAAAAGATCAGTATGCTGCTAAAAATGCTGCTACTGATATGGTTCTTTTGCGCTATGGTTCTCCTCTATATTAATGCTATGTTTCTGCTACGTAGGTTAAGACATCTATGAATGCAATGTACATAAAAAAATAGAACTAGAACGTGTTTCATATTTGGGATATTCTAAATACATAAAGAATTTGACAAATAAACATAATGAGGTCTGCAAAGATGGCTGTAGCTGCACACACGTTAAATATTCCAACTCATGATGAACTTGTTTCCCGTGCACGAGATCTGGCGCCAAAGCTAAAAGAGCGGGCAGAGGCCGCAGAGGCTGCACGCTGTGTGCCTGAGCAAACGGTCGCAGAAATGCAAGAAGCTGGTTTTTTTCAGGTGCTACAGCCCAAAAAATGGGGCGGGTATGAGTGTGAACCACGTACTTTTTTTGATATCCAAATGGAACTGGCGCGGGCCTGTCCATCAACAGCCTGGATTTATGGTGTTATTGGTATTCATCAATGGCAGATGGCTTTATTTCCTGAAGAGACACAACAAGAGGTTTGGGGAGAGGATCCTCGTGTACTGATTTCTTCCTCCTATATGCCTGTTGGTAAGGTCGAGCATACCGATGGTGGTGTGATTTTAAGTGGTCGTTGGGGGTTTTCTAGTGGCTGTGATCATTGTCAGTGGGTGTTTGTTGGTGGTTTTATTCCACCTAAAGATGGTGAAGGCTATCCTGATATGGTGACTTTTTTGGTACCACGTAGCGATTATGACTTTGATGATGACTGGCATGTCTCTGGTTTAAAAGCGACAGGTAGTAAGACGGTTATTGTTGATAAAAAGTTTGTGCCTTGGCGTCGAATTCATAAATTTAGTGATGGATTTAAACAAGATAGCCCCGGTCATGCGGTTAATGATGCACCGCTATTTCGTCTCCCTTTTGGGCAAATTTTTGTTCGGGCGGTTTCTACAGGGACTATTGGGATGTTACAAGGTGCGTTAGATACCTACATCGAGGTGCAAAAGGACCGTGTCCAACGTGGTAATGGTGAAGCCGTCTCTCAGCAAGCAAATGCGCAACAGGCGGTTGCTCATGCTGCAGCAACAATTGATATGTTAAAGCTCATACTCTACCGCAGTTTTGATGAAATGATGGATTATGTGAGGCGCGGTGAAAAGATACCTGTTGAGCGTCGTGTTCATTTTCGTTATCAGTCCGCGTTGGTTGTTGAGTCTTGCTTAGAGGCTGCGACGAAATTATTAAACGAAAGTGGCGGTTCTGGGATCTTTTTAACCAATCCAATCAATAGCTATTTTCAAGATATACGTGCCGCGCGCGGACATTATGCCAATAATATGGATAAGCCTGGTAAAAACTTAGGTAGTGTCTTAATGGGCTTAAAAAATACAGATTTCTTTATTTAAACGTAATCTAAAGGCCTCTAATAATGACTGAAATTAAACAACTAGGCTACCTTGGTTTTGAGGTTGCCGATCTGAAAGCCTGGGAGCATTTTACAACCGACGTTCTTGGGTTAGGGCAAAGCCAACACTTTGCAAATGGTGGCTTTGCGCTACGTCTAGACGAATATCAACAACGTTTTATCATTCAGCCAGGTCAGGCAGATGATCTTGTTTGTGTTGGCTTAGAAGTTGAAAATAAGGAAGCACTGACAGCGGTAATTTCTCGTGTACAGGCTGCGGGAATTGCTGTAGGCGAGGGCGACAGCAAACTGGTCGAGCAACGCCAAGTTGAGGCATTAACAACCTTTAAAGAGCCTGGTGGTGTGCAGTTTGAGGTATATTATGGGCCGCAAATGGCGGCGGAGCCATTTCAGTCGCAGGTGGTGGCTCATGGTTTTAAAGCTGGTGCCCTTGGTCTCGGTCATTTTGTTTTACGGGCTGGTGATTTAGAAGCATCACTAAAGTTTGTGACGGATGTTTTAGGATTTCGCTTAAGTGATCGTATTATTTGTGATATTGGTGGTTATCATGTCAATATTGCTTTTACGCACTGTAATCCACGGCATCATTCGCTGGCCCTTGGAGAGAAATTGCCTAAACATATCCATCATTTTATGCTTGAAGTCAATGATATTGATGATGTCGGCCAGTGTTGGGACCGTGTTGTCAATGAAGGAATCACGGTTTGGAATGCTATTGGCCGGCATCCCAATGATCGTATGCTATCTTTTTATGCAGAAACCCCGTCAGGCTTTCAATTTGAATTTGGTTGGGGGGGACGTGAAATTTTAGATGATGATACTTGGGATACTTATGTTTATGATCGTATTAGCGATTGGGGGCATGAACATCCAGCTCAAATGTTTAAGAAGATGTTTAAAAAACAGAAATCGTAGCAGCGCATTACCAACAAATAGACTAGGAAAATTAGAGACAAACAATGACTGTAGTAGCCGCAGTGCCAGAAGGCAAATACGTTGATATTTTTGACGGTCACAAAATCCATTACCACGAAGCCGGTGAGGGCTTTCCTGTTATTTTTATTCATGGTAGTGGGCCTGGAGCCAGTGGTTGGAGTAACTTTAAAGGCAATTATGAAACCATTGCAAATTTAGCTAACTGTCGTTGCTTTGTGCCTGATTTGCTCGGGTATGGCTATTCTTCGATGCCAGAAGAAGCGACCTTTACCTACGACGATTTAAAAAACGGTATTCAAGAATTTGCGAAGCAACTAGGGCTTAAGGAATATGCACTCGTTGGCAACTCGATGGGCGGCGCAATTGCGATTACCTTAGCACTAGAATGTCCTGAGCAGGTCAAGCAGTTAATTTTAATGGCACCTGGCGGCTTAGAAGCTAAAGAAGTTTATATGGAGATGAAAGGTATACGTACAATGATTCGGGCCATGTATGCGCCAGAAGGTATTACCCGTGAGTCGATGCGTAAAGTTTTTTCTCTACAATTGCATGACGCCAGTTTGATCACCGATGACATTATCGAAGAGCGGTTTCAGATTGCAGAGCAGCAGCCAAGAGGTATGTTCGAGAAAGTTATTGTTCCCAACCAAGCAGGTCAGCTTGCTGAGTTACAAATGCCTATTTTAGGGTTTTGGGGCGTAGATGATCAATTTTGTCCTGTTAGTGGTGCGATGATTGTTGCCAAAGAAGCTAGCCAAACGAAAATGACGATGCTAACAGAATGTGGACACTGGGTGATGGTGGAACATGAAGCGTACTTTAATCAGCAATGCGCAGATTTTGTGCGGCAAGAGACGGTGTAAAGACGATGGCCCTAACAGAAGATAAAATTCGTTTTTATGGAGATGCCTTGTTTCAGGCATTACAAACACGCACAACCCTAAAGCCGCTGACCTCACAAGATAACTTAACCGTCGATGATGCCTATGCCATCTCTAAACATATGATTGCTTGTCGTGTCGAGGCCGGCGAGCGCATTATTGGAAAAAAAATTGGTGTTACCAGTGCACCTGTGCAAGATATGCTGAATGTTCGTACACCGGACTTTGGGTTTTTAACCGATGCAATGCACTATGAGCAAGGTCAAGAGATGCCCATTAGCAGTAACCTGATTCAGCCCCGCGCTGAGGGTGAATTGGCGTTTCGTTTGGCTAAAGATTTAACGGGTCCGGGTATTACGGCAGAAGATGTACTGGCTGCTACCGATAGTGTCATGCCTTGTTTTGAAGTTGTTGATTCACGCATTGATAATTGGCAAATCAAGTATGAGGATACCGTTGCTGATAATGCTTCTTCGGGGTTATACATTGTCGGAGAGCCTGTTTCTCCGCGTGGCATTGATTTGGCGACAGCTGAGATGGTTGTTGAAAAAAACGGCCAATTTCTAAGCCGTGGTAGTGGGGTTGAGGCTTTAACTGGAGAGCCAAAACTGGGCACACCTGTTAATTGTGTTGCTTGGCTTGCAAATACACTTGGTCATTATGGTATTGAGTTACAGGCAGGAGATGTTATTCTTTCTGGTTCACTTGTTCCCCTAGAGCCTGTTGTATCCGGAGACCATATGCAGGTCACTATTGCTGGAGTTGGTACATTGGGTGTACAGTTTGTCTGAAAATATGAAGTATGTATATAGAGGCCTGATGAGTTGCTTTACTGCTACGCAGCCTTCGAGGATGTTTATTATATTGATCTCGGAATTGCTTTGTAGTAAGACAAATAATCACCCTTATTTTTGTAGATGAATGAAAGTTGATTAAAGGTATGTTTTTATGACAAAAATTAAAGCTGCTATTATCGGTTCCGGTAATATTGGTACAGATCTTTTATATAAAATGCAGCGTAGTGAAATACTCGAGCCTGCTTGGATGGTTGGTATTGATCCAGATTCTGATGGATTAAAGCGCGCTGCTGGTATGGGGTTAAAAACGACCTACGAAGGTGTTGATGGGCTTGTACCTCATATTCAGGATGACCAAATTCGGATTGCTTTTGATGCAACATCTGCTTATGTTCATGCAGAAAACTCACGCAAGGTCAATGAGCAAGGTGTTGTGATGGTTGACCTTACGCCTGCAGCGATTGGTCCCTATTGTATTCCACCAGTGAACTTACAAGAACAAGTTGGTTCTAAGGTTATGAATATTAATATGGTGACCTGTGGTGGACAGGCTACGATTCCAATGGTTTATGCGGTTAGTCGTGTACAACCAGTTGCTTACGGGGAAATCGTCGCAACGGTTTCCTCAAAATCTGCTGGTCCGGGTACACGTAAAAATATTGATGAGTTTACGCGTACAACTGCAGGAGCTGTCGAGAAATTAGGTGGGGCGAAACAAGGTAAAGCGATTATTATCATTAATCCTGCAGAACCACCACTGATTATGCGTGATACGATTCATTGTTTAACCGAAGAAGAGCCAGATCAAGCAGCGATTACTCAGTCTGTGCATGACATGATTGCGGCAGTGCAGCAATATGTTCCTGGTTACACCCTAAAAAATGGCCCCGTTTTTGATGGCAAACGCGTTTCAATTTTTTTAGAGGTTGAAGGCTTAGGCGATTATTTACCTAAATATGCAGGTAACCTTGATATTATGACAGCTGCGGCTTTGCAAGCTGGTGAACTTTTTGCCAAAGAAATGTCATAAAGACTGTAAAACCAAGATATAAATTCAGATTATTATTTGGAATTGTTGAAAAAATATAAAAAGTGAGACTGATGTGGACATAACAGGTAAACAGGTCACATTGCATGACATGTCACTACGAGACGGTATGCATGCCAAACGTCATCAAATAAGTATCGAGCAAATGGTACAAATCTCAACAGCGTTAGATGCCGCAGGTGTACCACTTATTGAAGTAACGCATGGAGATGGCATTTCTGGAGCCTCTGTGAACTATGGGTTTCCTGCTCATAGTGACCGTGAGTACCTTGAGGCTGTTATTCCCAAAATGAAGAACGCTAAAATTTCAGCACTACTGTTACCTGGAATTGGGACGGTTGATGATCTTAAAATGGCTTATGATCTAGGGGTTTCAACCATCCGTATTGCGACACATTGTACGGAGGCTGATGTTGCTGAGCAGCATATTGGTATGGCTTCAGGGATGGCCGGTTTAGATGTTGTTGGGTTTTTAATGATGGCACATATGATTCCTGCGGAGCAGCTGTTAGAGCAAGCTCTATTGCAGGAGAGTTATGGTGCAAATTGTATTTATGTTACGGATTCTGCTGGTGCAATGTTGCCTGATGAAGTTACAGAAAAAATTGCACTATTTCGTCGTGAACTTAAACCAGACACGGAAGTAGGTTTCCATGGTCATCATAATCTCGGTATGAGTATTGCCAATTCTCTTGCAGCAGTCGAGGCTGGAGCTATTCGTATTGATGGCTCTGCCGCTGGTCTTGGTGCTGGTGCTGGTAATACACCGCTCGAAGTGTTTGTAGCCGTTCTTGATCGGATGGGGGCAACTCATGGTGTTGACCTTTGGCAACTAACAGACGTGGCAGAAGATCTTATAGTGCCGCTGATGGATCAAGCTATCCGTATTGATCGTGATTCTTTGGTCCTTGGTTATGCTGGCGTGTATTCTTCCTTTTTACTCCATGCCAAGCGTGCTGCTGAGAAATATGGTCTTAGCTCACGTGATATCTTAGTTCGTCTAGGGGAAATGAAGACCGTTGGAGGCCAGGAAGATATGATTGAAGATGTCGCATTAACAATGTGTAAAGAACAACAATCTGCATAAACGGTAGTTATCTATGACATCTACAGAGCATTCGTGGGATAAAGAAGTTGATTTACTTGTTGTTGGTTCTGGCGGTGGCGGTATGGCCGCGGCGCTTCGTGCCCATGATTTAGGTAGTGAGGTTCTGCTGATTGAAAAGGGTGACCTCTATGGCGGCTCAACAGCAATCTCTGGTGGTGTTTGTTGGGTTGGGAATAACCGGCATATGCCAAAAGCTGGTATTCAAGACAGTGATGAAGAAACTCTGACCTACCTTAAACACATTACCAAAGGGGAGGTTGCTGAGGAAAAAATTACGACCTATGTTCGTGAATCTAATCGTGTTATCAACTATTTACATGACAACAGTCAGGTAAAATTTACAGCTGTTGCCAAGTATACAGACTATTATCCAGAAGCGCCCGGCGGTAAAATGGGCGCAAGGTCTATGGAATGCCCTAGGTTTAATGCAAAGGTTTTAGGACCACGTTTAATGGAACTGCAGCGGCCTCATATTCAATCTCAGATTATGGGTAAATTTGGCATTATGGCTGGAGAAGCGCATCAAGCGCTTGTTGGCAACTGGCGGACCAAGTTTTTTATGGTCTGGCAATTTATCAAATATCTGCTGCGTTCTGGTGCCCGTAAGCGTTGTGGTAGAGACACAAGTCTTACAGCAGGTAATTCGCTGATGGCGCGTTTTTTTACCTCGTTAATTGACCGTAATGTTGAGATGTGGAAGGAGTCTTCTGCTCAGGAACTTATTATTGAAGATGGGCATGTTCTTGGTGCACTTGTTGAAAAAACGGGACAAAGCTTACGCATTCGGGCACGTCAAGGTGTTGTACTTGCTGCTGGTGGATTTGAACATAATCAAGACATGCGAAACCAGTACCAGAAACAACCGATTAAGACAGAGTGGAATGTTGGTAATACATTAAACGTTGGTGATGGTATTAAGCTAGGGCTTACTGCTGGTGGTACGTTAGACCTAATGGATGAAGCGTGGTGGACACCGATTTGTCAGGTGCCAGGTAAAACGCCAGCTTTTGTTTTAGTTGTTGAAAAAAGTCTTCCCCATGGCCTTTTTGTTAATAATCAAGCCAAACGTTTTACCAATGAAGCCGCGCCTTATATTGATGTTGTTCATGGTATTTATGGTGATGATGATGGACAAGGTAAAACGATTCCAGCCTGGCTTATTTTTGATGCTACCTTCAGGCAGCGGTTTCCTGTTGGGCCAGTACCTCCAGGGTATGCTGCTTCAGATGGCGTGATGAAACGGTTTTTTAAGAATGGTTTTTTAACGAAAGCGGACAGTTTGACAGCACTGGCTGAAAAAATAGATCTCGATCCTGTGCAATTACAAGAGACGATTAATCGTTTTAATACCAATGCGCGTCAAGGGCTAGATCCGGATTTTGGCCGTGGTAAGAGTGCCTCTGATCGCTATTATGGTGATCCTCGTGTGAAGCCCAATCCTTGTTTAGGTCCTGTTGAAACTGCACCATTTTATGCGATTCGTATCTATCCTGGTGATTTAGGTACCAAAGGTGGTCTCATTACCGATACGCAGTCACGTGTACTACGTGAAGATGGTACAGCAATTGCTGGCCTTTATGCGACAGGCAATTGTAGTGCTTCTATGATGGGGCGTACGTATCCTGGGGCAGGGGGAACAATCGGTCCTGCGATTACTTTTGGCTTTTTAGCGGCAGAAGCTGCTGCTCAGGATACAACCGGAGGTTAAATAATGACGATATCTGATTTAATTCAAGCACCGCTACAGTTTGATTTGTCCTGCACACTTGCAGCCACCCCAGATGAGGTTTTTACATTTATTACAGATTTTGAGGGAATGCCAGGTTGGATGCCACTGATGAAGCGTGTTGAGGTTGATAATACAAAGGCACAGGCACCTGGTGAAGTTGGAGCTGTACGGGTCATTTATCCACCAGTTGGTAGCGCTACCTATGAAGAAGTACGCGTTTTTGAACGCCCAAATCTACTGGCCTATAGTGCTAGCGATGACTCTTTAATGGGGATGTATACAAACCATATCGGCGTTTTAACTTGTGAAGCTACAGGGGAAGAGCATACGCTATTTTCCTGGCGTACCTACGCTGATCCCGGTAAAAATGTGATTATGCGCTTTTTTGGGCGTTTGGTGTTTGGCTATGTTTTTCGTCATAGCTTTAAGAAATTAAAGCAGCGTTTTCCGGTTTCCTGAGTAGATATTGTTAATAAACTAGGAGCAGACATGGCACAAAAACACGTGGAACCAAAGCAAATCATTGCTGCAAAAGAAGGTTGGTATAACCTTAATCCAGATAATCCACATCTGCTGGGCAGTCAATGTAAACAGTGTGGGACCTACAGCTTTCCGGCAGAGACGCTTTACTGTAAAAATCCGGCCTGTGATAGTACGTCATTCGAGGAGGTTGCTCTAAGTCGTCGGGGGAGCATTTGGTCTTATACCAATGCCTGTTATCAGCCACCAGCTCCGTATATCGCTACGACGGATCCTTATGAGCCTTTTACCTTAGCAGCCGTAAAGCTAGAAAAAGAAGGATTAATTATTCTTGGACAAGTAACCTCTGGGGTTACGGTTGATGATTTACAGATTGGTATGGAGGTTCAGTTGGTGCTCGATACGCTTTTAGAGACCAATGAGACGAAGCAGGTCATTTGGCGCTGGCAGTTAGTTGCCTAGCTAAAAGTAATTTTGGAGATTTATTATTTCGTTGTTTCTTAAGGGGGATCTATGAATAGGCAAAAAGATCACAATAACTTTATTAGTTTCTATGTCGTTATTCTGCTGCTTTTAATAACGAGTCATCAGGCTCTGGCCTCTCCAGCAGATGACATGATTTCTTTGTTACGCAAAATAACTGTTTCGACAGGAAAAAAGCCAGCGATTTTACTTATTGATATGCATGTTGAGGATCTTGTCTATGACCGAAAACTAAAGGCATATTTTTATGAGTTTCCTGGTAATACCAAACTATATGCGGAGCAGAAGCGTGTTATTGAATTTGGACTAGATAATGGCTATGACGTTTATGATATTAATTTTATGGGTAGTAATATGTCTAAAAGGGGTAAATTTAATTTTTTACTTGAACGAAAAGCACGAGGGACTGCTACATTTGAAGATATCGTTGACCTTAAATATAGTCGGGGAGGAGCTGCCAATTACCATAATATACTGAAGCCAGAGAATGACTCTTTTACAAAGACGACATTAACAGCAGACTTAGAAAACACGGATAATGTTGTTGTAATGGGATTTGAAACGGAGATATGTTGCCGAGAGACAGTAGAGAGTGCTCTTAAACAAGGAAAAAAGGTGATTGTTGATCGACGACTGACATCGACAGAATTACAACGTAACCTTACAGGAAGATCTGCCGATACTGAATATCCTGTCTGGAAACCAGGTGATACTGAATGGGATGCTAAGTGGCAGGAGCTTAAAGAACAATATGGAGATCAGTTATTACTAACAGATCAAGAAACAACTTCTTACGATGATGTTCAATTACCAGCTTGTGAGTAGCTTTTTTTGAGTATGGATTTTAGGACACTAACTAAATTAATTAACGAAAAGTAAATTTATGTTTAGCGTTTTGATTGAAAAATGGAGTGAATATGCCCGTAGGTGAAGTAGCTATTTTAGGTGTTGGGATGCATCCCTGGGGAAAATGGGGACGCAATTTTGTTGAATATGGTGTCCAGGCTGCCCGCGAGGCATTAAACGACGCGGGTGTGGCTTGGCAAGATATTCAATTTGTCGCGGGTGCCAATACGATTCGCAATGGTTATCCTGGTCAAGTCTCTGGGGCGACCTTTGCCCAGGCTCTTGGGTGGAATGGTTGCCGAATCTCAAGTTCCTATGCTGCTTGTGCTTCTGGGTCTATGGCGCTCAATTCTGCGCGTACACAAATTTTAGCTGGACTTGCAGATGTAGCACTTGTCATTGGTGCGGATACCACACCAAAAGGTTTTTTAGCACCTACTGGCGGTGATCGTCCCGATGATCCTGATTGGTTAAGGTTTCGTTTGCAAGGGGTTACTAATCCTGCTTATTTTGCTTTTGCTGCTCGTCGGCGTATGGATTTATATGGTATGACCGAAGATGATTTAGCACAAGTAAAAATCAAAAATGCCAAGCATGGTTTGCATAATCCCAATGCTCGCTACAAAAAAGCCTTTACCAAAGAAGATGTTCTTGCTTCACCTATGGTTGCAGACCCTTTGCGACTACTACATATTTGTGCCACAAGCGATGGGGCAGCAGCACTCGTTATTTGTAGTTTAGATTATGCCAAAAAATTAGGAGTGCAAAACCCTGTACGCATTGCTGCAATATCTACAGCAACGCCGACATATCCTAGTACGCAAGTTGAAATGCCTGATTTAGCGACAGATTCAAGTTTTGTTGTACCTGAGCCAAGTGCCCAGTTTAAGAAGGCTGTTGTTGATGCTGCTTATGAAGAAGCGGGATTAGGGCCAGAGGATATTGATTTAGCTGAAGTGTATGACTTAAGTTTAGCCATGGAGTTAGATTGGGTTGAAAACATTGGTTTTGCTAAAGAAGGGCAGGCCGAGCAGTTACTTCGCAGTGGTGATACCTCAATTGGTGGTAAAAAACCTGTCAATACAAGTGGTGGACTGGGATGTTTTGGGGAGGCTGTACCGGCTCAGGCAATTGCTCAGGTTTGTGAACTAACCTGGCAGCTACGGGGGCAGTCTGGAAGGCGTCAAGTCGAGAATGCCAATGTGGGGATTACTGCCAATCAAGGTCTTTTTGGTCATGGATCATCGGTGATTGTGAAAAAATAACGTAACAAGGATTAGATCAACGATGGATTTTCAGATTCCGCGTCTGGTTATTTTTTTTGTCGTTTATCTTGTTTTATTACTGTTAGAAACCAAGTTTCCGCGGCGTCCCGTTGTTGAAAGAGTGTCTATACACCAAATACGTAATCTAGCATTGGGGTTGCTTGATACGGTAATTGTGCGGTTGCTATTACCTATTGTTCCTGTTGGCGTTGCCCTAAAATGTGCCCAGATGGAGCAAGGCTTTTTTTATTGGCTAGGAGTTACGGGGTGGGTTGCTGTTGTTCTGACTGTTATTATTTTTGACTTTGCGATTTATCTTCAGCATGTTTTTTTTCATAAGGTCCCGTTTTTATGGCAACTCCACGCTGTACACCATAGTGATATAGATTTAGATGCCAGTAGTGGAGTACGGTTTCATCCTATAGAAATACTGCTTTCTCTATTATTTAAAGTTGTTTTAGTTATTCTTCTCGGCGTGCCTGCGGTCGGTGTATTGTTCTTTGAAATTATCCTGAACGTGACTGCAATGTTTAATCATGCGAACTTGCGATTACCTAAGTTAATAGACTGCTTTTTACGTTATATTCTAGTTACACCAGACATGCACCGTATACATCATTCTGTCCATCAAGATGAGACAGATAGTAATTTTGGCTTCAATTTGTCTTGTTGGGACCGTCTGTTTACAACATACCGTGCTGAGCCTCGAGATGGTCATCAAGATATGCTGACTGGTGTTTGCGAGCTTCCCCAGCATCCTAAAACGTTATTAGGCTTGTTGTTGATGCCTTTTAAAAGATGAGAAACAAAGAATATGATTAAGGCCAGACGTTAGATCTTTTTTTGTATAGCTAATTTGTTTCTCTTTCTTGGACATAGCTATATAACGTTGGTTTGGAAATATTAAATAGTTCGCAAAGTTCGTTGATGTTATGTGATTTTTCTTTATATAAGTTTCGTAATAAAGTTGCTTTTTTGTCATCAAGCTTTGGCCTTCTTCCTCCATGACGGCCGCGGGCGCGTGCAGCGTTTAAACCTAACGTGGTACGTTCTTGAATTAAATTATGTTCAAAATCAGCTAGTGCATTAAAAATATGTAATGTTTGCTTACCTGCAGCAGTTTGTGTGTCGATCATATCTTGTAGACTTTTAAAACCGACGCCACGATTTTCTAAATCACTAATAATTTCTATTAAATGTTTTAGGGAACGTCCTAAACAGTCTAAACGCCAGATGACAAATGTATCACCAAAACGAACATATTCTAGAGCTTCTTCTAAAGCTGGTCGTGGCATTTGGGTTGTTGTTGTGTGATCAGTGAATATTTTTTTACAGCCAAGATCTTTCAATGCTTTTTTTTGCAGATCTAGAGTTTGAAGACAGGTTGAATGCCGTGTGTAACCAATTAACATTAGTAAAAATACCCTCTTTTTTTGTCAAAAAAATAAAAAAACAGTCTAAATTTTTATGAAATTATTAATATAAAAAACATAATTAAATTGTTGTTTTTATTAGGGAAATAAAATTTTTTAATTAATTTATTAACTTAAAAATTAACTCCGATTCCTATTTTTAAGATAGGTAAAGAAATTATACCATTTGTTTACCTATCTTGTTGTTTTGGTTACTTATGCGGATGAGAAGATTATTTTATAGAAATAGGATTAAATAACTACTAGATGAATAGTTTGTGTTTTTTATAAAACATATGTGATAAATTTGAATTCATGTCCAGGAGCTAAAAAATATTGTTTTTTGGTGGTTTGTGTATAGAGAATTATCTTGGTAGATAAAAAAATAAAAACACGTGTTAATGAGCTTGTCCAAGAGCTTGCAGCGCAAATTATATCTGGTCTTTGGCACAGTGGGAAGGTTTTACCTCCTGAGCGTCAGTTGTCAGAAGATTTTTCTGTTAGCCGTCCGACGTTACGTGAAGCGTTACGGCAGTTGGAGCAGATGGGGTTAGTTGTTAGCCGACGAGGCTCTGGAACAACAGTTTTACCTTGGCAAGAAACTGCACTTATTGATGTTTTTTCGATATATTTGAATCAAATTATTGGTACTAAAGATTTTTTTATTACTCTTGAGTCGTCGTTAAAGATACGACAGGCCCTTATTGTTGAGGTTGTTCGTTGGTTAGCGTTGCCAGAAAAAGAGATTAATTATCTTTCTTTAAGGCAAGAATTATTTAAAGTCTGGGAGCAACGAGAAGACCCTGTTGTTTTTGTTGTTCAAGATTTTGAATGGATGAAGGTTTTGACTCTTGCTAGTGGTTACTATCCTGCATTATGGATGATGAATGCCTTTATCTCTAACTATATAGAGATTATTAAAAATGTTGGAGTTTCTCCTCCTCCGCTATTAGATTATTATGAAATCTGGACACAAATTTTAGATGCTTGTAAACAAGCTAAGTCTGAGTTAGCTATTAAGCTAACTCAAGCATATTTTCTCAAGCATGATCAAGCTCTTTTAAAGTTTCTTGGAGAATCTGATACTTAATTGATCTGAATTGATCTGAAAAAATTTAAGGAGACATAGACACTATGTCTAGTTTTGGCTTATTTTTTATTGGAGGCTTCCTTTTATTTATTGGAGCTGAATTACTTGTTGCAAGTGCTTCAAGTATTGCAAGACGTTTTGGTATTTCTGCTGTAACTATTGGCTTGACGATAGTTGCTTATGGGACAAGTTTACCTGAATTGATCGTTTCTGTTCGATCTGTTTTGAGCGGTAATAGCGGTGTTGCTTTTGGCAATGTCTTAGGAAGTAATATTTGTAATATCGCTTTAATTTTAGGTACTGCTGCGATTTTACGACCGTTAGTTCTGCATGAACAATTAATCAAGAGAGAGATACCATTTTTATTATTCATTTCGTTGGTTGTTGTTGTTTTTGTTACCAATGGTAAACTTGGGCGTTTTGAAGGCGCTTTTTTAATAATTACTGGTTTGTTTTTTATCTGGGCGTTATTTCGTGATGCTGTTCAAGGTGACCAAGAGGCATTAGGTATTAAGGTAGAGGACATTCGTATTTCACGTCTAGGCGTTTTACAAGATAGTGTTCTTATTCTTGTCGGTTGCCTTGCTTTAATATTTGGAGGTTCTTGGTTTGTTGACGGTGCCGTTGAATTGGCTCAGCAGTTTGGTGTAAGCCAGACGATAATCGGTCTTTCTTTAGTTGCTTTTGGAACTAGTGTTCCAGAACTTATCACGGTTATTGTTGCGGTACGCCGTGGTGAATATGATATTGGTGTCGGCAATATTATTGGGTCAAACATTTTCAATTTGACTACAGTTCTTGGTTCTGCGTCAGTTATCTCTCCGTTGCCTTTTGGTGGAAATCAGGCGTGGCTAGATTTAGCAGTTGCTTTGGGGTTACCATTGTTACTTATTCCGGCATTTAAAGGAAAATTGCGTATAGAGCGTTGGCAAGGGATAAGTCTTGTTACAGGATATGGTTTATTGATGTTGTTTTACTTTTTTGTAGAACAGCGTTTCTTTACAGAGGGTGGATAATCTTGTATTATTTAACCTCACTAAAATACTCATCCTAGATTGTATGAAAATTGTTGTTAGGAGATTGATGATGGGGTGTTTTGTTCGTAATTTTAGTTTAATTATGTGTAGTTTTTTCTTATTGGCATGTAGTGCAAAGAGGACTCAAGGTTGGCAATTAGCTATTCAGAAAAAAGATGGTAGTATTGTCGAAGTTTTTGCTGAGGCAGAGAGAGCTTGGGAAAACCGTGAAAGTCCAGAACAGTTACAGCAAGCTATTACGTTATACGAGCAAGCCATTGCGATTCAGGCAAACAGAGTCGATATTATGTCTCGTTTGGCACGAGCTTATTATTTTTTATCTGATGGCTATCATCGAGGAGATACGGAGGCTCAGATACGTTTATATAATCAGGCTGCGCAGTGGGGGGAACGAGCAATGGCCTTACATCAAGAATTTGCTGAACGTGTAAAAGACCGTGGAGAAACTATAGAAGATGCGGTTAATGTTCTTGATTCTGATTATGTAGCGGCTGTCTATTGGACTGCCTCTGCAATCGGTAAATGGGCACGCCTAAAAGGCTTTGTCACGTTATTGGCTCAGAAAAGCCGCATTAAGAAACTGATGACCTGGGTTACGGAGCAAGATGCTAATTTTTATTATTCAGGGCCATTGCGTTATTGGGGGGCATATTATTCTATTGCACCGGCATTTGCTGGCGGTGATTTGATCTTGTCAGAGCAAAAATATAAAGAAAGTTTAGAGATTGCCCCTGGTTTTTTAGGTACAAAAGTATTAATGGCTGATACCTATGCTACAAAGAGCCAAGATCGTGAACTCTATATTAAACTTCTTACAGAAGTCGTAGAGGCTGACCCTAGAGATATTCCTGAGATTGCCCCAGAGCAAAAAGTCGAGCAAGCAAAAGCAGCCGAAATGTTAGCTATTGTAAACGATAAATTTGCCAATTAAAAATCTCACTACAAAACTGCTGCAATTTGATAAAACGTTACTAAAAGAATGTTTTTGTCTATGTCTTTTAGTTCTTTAGTTGCTTGAATTTAATGAATTAAACCCTTATGGAGATTCAGTTTATGTTAAGACATATAGGTCTTTTTCTTAGTGTCTTTCTTTTTACGGTGACGTTAGCTCA